GCAGGGGTACATGTACATCAAATGTATATAAAACTGCATGCTGTGCAAAGGATCGAACAAGACCTTTCCCTCTCTGTTTCCTCCCATGCTGTAGAAATGTTTCTCAAACGCCATAAATAAAAAGATGGTGGAGAAATACAATTATGTCTCAAAGAATTCTTTGAAGTGCCACATTGACGTTATTGGAGCAATTTAGTCATGCCTCCCAGATGGTAAATCTATCGGGCTGAATGCCCTCATTTTACTGCTTCCAGCATGGCTGGCTCAGGAATTCTGGGAGTTGAAGTCCACCAGTCATAAAAGAGCCAAGGTTGCCTACCCCTGCCCAAATGCCTGCATTTTGATCATGTGACTGTGAGGAAAAATATTTAAATATTTAAACCAGGGGTCTTCAAACTTGGCTCTTTTATGACTCGTGGACTTCAACTCCCAGAATTCCTGAGCCAGCATGGCTCAGCATGGAAACCTCTCCCTTTCCCCTCAGCATGGCTGGCTCAGGAATTCTGGGAGTTGGTCCACGAGTCATAAAAGAGCCAAGGTTGCCTCCTCTGGCCTAGGCCTAGGCCGCTTTCTGACTCGTGGACTTCAACTCCCAGAATTCCTGAGCCAGCATGGCTCAGCATGGAAACCTCTCCCTTTCCCCTCAGCATGGCTGGCTCAGGAATTCTGGGAGTTGAAGTCCACGTCATAAAAGAGCCAAGGTTGCCTACTCCTGGGTTAGGAGAAGAGTGAAAAATTATTCTGCTGCAGTTGAAGGCTGGATTTTGGCAGTGCAACCTTGAGGGAATTGGTTAGGGGACTCCCCCCCCCCCCAAATAGGCTGTTGGTCGAAGGGCAGCTGGGCAGCTGCTCTTAAATCAGATTTATGTCTGCTCCTAAGCCAAAGAAAATTAAAAATACCATCTTTCTAAAGCTAATTCCAGTCCCAGAAGAGCAGCTGCCAAGAAGTGGGGCTTGATTGACTTCAGATCATGTAGAATATGCTCTTTGGAAGCACCCAAGCAACATTTCCTATTTGTAACTGCACAGTGTTGCCAACTCACCTTAAGCCTCAGGAGAAAAGCAGATTGTCAGATTAAACTGAGACGAAAGTAGAGCAAAGTGGGGGTGGTGGATGGCAGGAACACCTCATCTCTGCAAAGACATTATGTAAGGGTACAGATTCTAGAGCCAAAATGGAAACCTTTCTGGGCTTTGCACAATTTGTGGGTCAAAAGACCCTGCTATTTCTTGGGCCTGGGGTGTGCATCACGCTAAATCGTGGCAGGATAACAGGGTCCTGATTCCCTCAGGCAATGCCACCACCCATGGTTTACAGGCCACAGGAGTAGTGTTCATACAACACCACCCAAACGAAACATATCATATGGTGGCTTAATGCAATAGTGCAGTGTATGCATTCAGAGGATTGCTAAATGCCCATGGCTGTCATCTAGAGATGCCAGAATGACACCAATTTGTTCTTTGTGCAGGGGAGATACAGTACTCTACAATCATAGCATGACTCAAAGCAAGCAATAGTTAAGAGTTCATTCTGGTCTAAACTTGTGGAAGTTGTTTGGACTGGAACTTGGAACTTGTTATGACCTCCCAATTCATAACTTTCTTCATGGTGTTATGGACCCAAATTCTATCACTCGACATTTCGAGATGGTATTTTGACCAACCATAAAGATGTTGGAATCTGGTGGATTAGAGAGACATTCTGGCTGGATTCACACAGCCTCTTTAACCTGATATTCTAGATAAGAAAGTGTAGTTGCATTCGCCTAATATGCGTGTGATATCGAGCAAAACCAAAGGATGGTTTAATGTAACACCTGATTTATTTATTTACAAGTATTTGAACTATGTCTCTTACTAGACTCTAGGTCAGTGGTGGTGAACCTATGGCACGGGTGCCAGAGGCGGCACTTGGAGCCCTCTCTGGGGGCACACGTGCCGTTGCCCCAGCCTTGCCACCCCCTGTGACCCCCTCACCAGCAGCCCCCTGAAGGAGAGTCGCCCCCGAGTGTGGCCCACGCGGAGCAGTGCAGCCAAGGACATGGCAGCCAGGCAGCGTAGACAAGACTCTGCCCTCACACCCCATTGTGCCCAGTTGATGCTGCGGGGCGCGGCAGAGGGCATGACCATCATAGCGCTGCTGGGCTGCCTGGGCGATCTGCGATGGGCATTGGAGGCGATGAGTGGCCCTGCGGGCAGGTGGGGTGGAGGATAGGGCGGACGGGGGCGGAGCAAGGGGTGGAATGGGGCGGGACCAGTTTTTGGGCACTCGGTCTCTAAAAGGTTCGCCATCACTGCTCTAGGTCACTGTGGTTCGGTAAAGGACACCAAACTGATGGTTAAGGCGGCACGTAGCTTCTTGAGACAAGCTGAATCACAAATGACTCAGCATCAACCGTTTTAACCCAGTTGAGTGGTGATGTCTGAACCTCAGCCTCCTCCCATTAACATTTCAAGCAGCTAGTTAAAGTTAGGTGCTGTCCGACTAAAATTGGCTGACTTATTCCTTAAAAACCTTCCAGGAGTTATTTTGGAGAAGACCTTGAACCTCAGTAATGCAGTTGAAGGGGCCAACATTTACAAGATTTCTTGTTAGCTTGTTGGTTGAATTGTTAAATGTGTTGCAATTTAACTGTCTGCTGTCTGACAATACGGTGTCCTGTGGTCTAACTGAACATAAAGGTTGACTCAGCCTTCCATCCTCCCGAGGTTGGTAAAATGAGGACCCAGACTGTCGGGGTGGGGGCTGCTTGGTGCTCTCTGAGCTTGCTTCTTTTCTTGCCGACGTTTCATTACCCAAACTAGGTAACATCATCAGTGCTGGTAAGGAGTCAGTTTATAGTTTGGGGGCTTGACCTGTCGGTGTTGGTGGGGGTGGTCTTAGATATTCTTCAGTTGGGCTGTTCACTGTTAGCTGTGGGGCAGTTTCTTGATTGGGGTGTTGTTTACTTGATGGTTGATCTGATGTTAACCTTGAAGTTAATCTAGGCCAGGGGTAGGCAACCTCGGCTCTTTTATGACTCATGGACTTCAACTCCCAGAATTCCTGAGTCAGCTATGCTGAGGGGAAAGGGAGAGGTTTCCAAGCTGAGCCATGCTGACTCAGGAATTCTGGGAGTTGAAGTCCATGAGTCATAAAAGAGCCGAGGTTGCCTACCCCTGATTCTAGGTTGATCTGGGTGCTGAGTGTTTTTTCCTTTTTGGGCTGGGTGATTGTCTCTTTTGCATAGTCTATAGATGTTGTTAATATCTATGTATCTATTGATGGCTGAATTCTAGAAATTCCTTGGCGTTTTTGGACTTGGCCTCGTTTAGGATTGTCACATTTTCCCAACTGAAACGGTGGCGAAATCTGTCTACATGTTGTGAAATGGAAGCATTTTCATCATGTCTTCTGACTGCTAGCTGGTGTTCATGGGTGCGTTCTGACAGTCTTCTGCCTGTTTGTCCTACATAGTATGTTGTGGATGACTCCTGTTTTTTGTTTCCTTCTGGGGCTGTTGTGTCTTTTGATCTGCCTAGGATGTTTTGAAGGTCTTGCATTGGCTTGTGTGTTACGCTGATTGATTGTCGGTGGGGGGATATGCTGAAATTGCAAGAGAGTGTTGTAAAAGCACTACGGGGGTGGTATATATCAGTCCAAGTGCTATTGCTACAATAAAATATATACTCATTCAAAGAAAGGCAGAGAATGGAAGAGACGAGGATGGAGCATACGTAGAGTTTCATCCAAATCGAGATAGCTCTTTTGAGGGGGTATTTTTTTAAAAAAGGAACAAAGTAAATGTGGTATTGAATTTGGATTATCCAATGAACGCCGAAGAATCAGGAAACACCACCCTTCTGCTTAACCCTTCTGAAGGAGGGGCAATCCAACCCTCCTCCTTAGCTTGGCCATATTTCAGGAGTTTCTTTGTCACATCAAGTTCACCAACTGCTGGTAAGATAATACAAAGGGGTGGCTCGCCAGATCACTTTCCGTAGCTTCTTCGTTTAAGCAACCTGAAATGCATCGCTCAGGTTTTAAGTCTTTGGATGTCTTTTCTTAGAGGTTGTTTGGATGTACTTGATCCTGCGTTGGATAACGAAGTGTGGGTAAATGGGGATGAAGGAGGTTAGGGGTGGTTTGTCTCCAGCAGGAAAGTAATAAGGCCAGTTTTGAAAACTTCTTTCTCTTTGCTCTTTATGGATAGATCACGGGTCTCCAAACTTGGACACTTTTAAGTCTTCTGGACTTCAACTCTCAGAATTAGTAGTAACTGTGACAGGGATCTCGGAGTCATAGTGGATAATCACTTAACTATGAGACAGCCGTGTGCTGCAGCTGCCAAAAAAGCCAACACAGTTCTGGGCTGCATTAACAGAGGGATAGAATCAAGATCACCCGAAGTGTTAATACCACTTTACAATGCCTTGGTAAGGCCACACTTGAATACTGCATCCAGTTTTGGTCACCACGATGTAAAAAAGACGTTGAGACTCTAGAAAGAGTACAGAGACTGGAGGCTAAAGCATATAAGGAACGGTTGCTGGAATTGGGTATGTCAAGTTTAACGAAGAGAAGGACGAGGGGGGACAGGATAGCAGTGTCCCAATATCTCAGGGGCTGCCACAAAAAAGAGGGAGTCAAGCTATTCTCCAAAGCGCCGGAAGGCAGGACAAGAAGCAACGGATGGAAACTCATCAAGGAGAGAAGCAACCTAGAATTAAGGAGAAACTTCCTGACAGTTAGAACAATTAACCAGTGGAACAACCTGCCTCCAGAAGCAGTGAATGCTCCAACACTGGAAGTTTTTAAGAAGAGACTGGACAGCCATTTGTCCGAAATGGTATAGGGTATCCTGCCTGAGCAGGGGGTTGGACTAGATGACCTCCAAGATCCCTTCCAACTTTTTATTATTATTATTATTACTACTACTACTACTACTATTATTGTTGTTTTGTTGTTGTTGTTGTTGTTGTTATTATTATTATTATTATTATTATTATTATTATTATTTTGGGATTTGAAGTCCAGAAGTATTAAAGTCTGGAGACTCTTGATATAGATCCTACTGTCAAGGTTCTGGGGCAGAATATGGACCTATCCAGTGGAAACTCAATTCTGAAACCAATTGTGGACAAATTCCTTGGTCTCTGAAGCACATTATATAATTTCCTATTTTCCCCTTCTCTGATAGAGTTGCTGTGATGGATAAAGGGTCCATTACAATCTTCATTTTTTGTCTTGGGATGGGTAAGTGCAAATCACTGCTCTCTGTTGTTGAGTGTCTGTAACACACACATGAAACCTCCCTGCCTAAGTGTCGTTCGGTATTTGAAATAATATCAGTATATATTGTTTTAAACTAAAGTTGTCTGGATGATTTATAAAACCAAAACAAAGATGAAGTCTTCAAGTTAGGCTTGTAGTCTAGTGATGTCATGATATGGAAGAGATTTTCTGGTGCCTCCTTCCATTTGAAAGGTTGCTGCAACCAACCAATCCTTCTTAAACAGGGTTGAGTGGGACCTTGGAGGTCTTCTAGTCCAAGCCCTGCAAGGTGCCCCATATATAAAAAGCAGTGTTTTCTGTTATCAGCCTCAACATAAGATCACAGGAAACAAAATTCATATTAGTCAAATCAATTCTTTGCTGGTTTATGGAGTAATGTAATGGGCAAATCAGAAAAAAAATGATTAAGTCAATGGTTAAAAGCAAAGCATCAAGCATATTGCAATGGAGTGCAATTGAGAACAACTGAGAACAAGGGGAAAAACTAGGAGATTAACGAATAAAAATTGGAATGTTTTAAAATGAAATTTTCATTCAGAGGACAAAGCATAGAGCAGATCCAAGACATGATAAATTAGTGCAATCAAGGGAAGCAGTGAAGAATATTAAAAAGGAAACAAAATCAGCTTGGGGAAAATAATTAATGGCTAGATAATTAATGGTCTCCCAGCAATAACAATGCTTCTTGTCATTTCGATAAACCACAAGCATAGGAGGCATCCTTATCAGTTTGTTTAACTCACTTTTCAAGGGAAATTACTGTGTCAACCAAACCAAATTGTTTTTTCCTCAAAGAATGAGAAAATGACATCCCAAAACAGTGTTTCTCAACCTTGGCAAGTTTAAGAGGTGTGGACTTCAACTCCCAGAATTCCCCAGCCAGCTGTGCCATCTTAAACTTGCCAAGATTGAGAGACACTGTTTTACAAAGCTCTGTAGTTATATCTGGATAGACCTCCTGAGAAAGCCTGCACGTCAACACAATCAGCTTATTTATTTCTGTGTATTTCTTTATAAGATTTATTTGCTGCCCATCTCTTAACCAACGACTCTGGAGAGGCTAGATCAGTGATGGCGAACCTTTTAGAGACTGAATGCCCAAACTGCAACCCAAAACCCACTTATGTATCGTCGGGTGCCGGGTGGGTATGGCCCATTGGGTGGGTGTGGCCCATTGGGTGGGTGTGGCCCATTGGGTGGGCGTGACTGCATTAGTAATGGCAGACTGGGTGGGACTAAAAAATTCAATCAATCAATTCCAACTTTGCAAGATCTTTTTTTTCCCGCGAGAAGTTGAAATTGACTGATTGAACCTTTTTTTTTTTGCACATGGCGGCAGAGGCCTAAAGCGAAAAGGTTTTATAAAACCCAGCTGAAGGCCTAGGACTGGGGCGACAGCGCGTGTGCCCACAGAGAGGGCTCTGAGTGCCGCCTCTGGAACCCGTGCCATAGGTTCGCCACCACGGGGCTAGATGGACAATTTAGCGACATGTCCTACAAATTTTTATCACCCTTTCAGGATGGCTGTTACAGTCTTCCAGATTGGTGTGGTTGGAAAATATGGGGAACATTCATTCTTAAAATCCTGAGCCAGGTTTGGAAAGACGGGATTACGCAGGGCAGATGAAAAAGTGAGCCAGGAATTCTTGCAAGTCCAGTCCCGCCATATCTGGAGAATGTCGCTTTGGAAAGATTATGAAATTACATTGTTTGGTGGCGTGTCTTTTTCTTTCAGCCAATAGCCTGGAGTGCCACAAGTGCTTAACAAATGAAGGGAACTGCTCTAAGGCCCCAGTTGAAGTTTGTAAGCCCAACCAAAACTCCTGCTTCTCCATGATCAAGAAGTACCATGGATGTAAGTCTTGTAATTCAAAGGGTTATTTATCATCATGTGGAAGACAGTAATAAAGTGACTTTTGCCCCATTCTACAACATTTCTTGCCACAGTCGTTAATGCGAATCACCGCAGCTGTTAAGTTAATAATGGGGCAAAAGTCACTTTATCACTGTCTTGCTTAACAATGGAAATATTGGGCTCAAGGGACTATCTAGTCTAGGGCTTTTCAACCAGTGGTATGGGTACCACCTGTGGTACATTGGCACCTGGCAGGTGGTACGCGACCATCCTAGAAAAGTGGTAGTGGGGGAGGGGAATGAACTGAACCGGTGGCAGCATCACACAAGCCTGAGTGAGAGATGGTTGGAGCTGCAGGGCTGTCAGGGCTCAGCAGAAGCGCCAGGATCAGCGCTTCCTCGGGGTTGTCAGGGCTCAGTGGAAGTGCCAGGATCAGCGCCAGGCTCCAGCTGAAGCTCGGCGCTGATCCTGGTGCTTTCACTGAGCCCAGAAGAAGCGCCGATCAGCTGGAATGTTGCAGCCTCTCCAGGGTCTTGTGATTTACATTCAGATGCTTGGCAACTGATTCATATTTATGACGGTCATAGTGTCCCAGGGTCATGTGAAGTGACCAAAACCTGCTGCAACCACCCAGCAGATGGGGGAATAAAAACCAAACAACCCCCCCATCCCACCCCCGCTGCTAATCCTCAACAGAAATGCTCACAACAATGAAAACCTCGGACAGGAGGAAGAGCGCCGCCGGGCGTGCAGGCAGCTGTCTTGCTCGGCTGTGGCTTGGGGGTCACTTTTTTCAGTGCCACTGTAACTTCAAACAGTCACTAAGCGAACTGTTATAAGTCGAGGACTACCTGTACTTTATCACTTTTTTCCTTTTTTTTTGGTCATCATGTTTTTGACCCCTTGCTAGGCGACTGGTGGTACTCGGATATTGCCATATCCTAAAAGTGGTACAATGGGTGAAAAAGTTGAAAAGCCCTGACCTATACGACACAATAAGTCACCTCATAGATTGCAACCAACTGTGCGGGATAATTGTGCCGCTCCCCAAAAGAGTCTTCAGAGAATACTTCCACATGATGATAAGTAACCTCATAATTTATTATTTTCTCGGTAGTGAACGCAGATACAGCCAAGCAGGGCTGTGGCTCCTCAAATGCTTGCCGGCGGTACCCGGCGGGAACCGAGGGCTCCTTGTTCCGAACAATGTGGTGTTGCTCTTCAAATCTTTGCCAACCTGTGACTTTGCAAGGTACGTAAAAGGAGCAAGCCACAAAAGTGTGTCCGGATCCCAGAATGCAACACTTCCTGAGGAAGTCTAGGTGGCTTGTGGAATTGTGACTATGTAGTGCAATGATTTGTGGACCGTGAGACGTACAATAGTTACTTGAACATGTCAACTTTGCTGCCAGTGAAATAATGCAAATTCAGTCCAAGATGCTATAGGCCAGGGGTCCTCAACCGTGGCAACTTTAAGACCTGTGGACTTCAACTCCCAGAATTCCTCAGCCAGCAAAGCTTAATCTGTAGCAGGGGTCCCCAAAGCTTAATCTGTAGTAGGGGTGTCCAACCTTGCCAATTTAAGATTTGTGGACTTCAACTGGCTGAGGAATTCTGGGAGTTGAAGTCCACAAATCTTAAATTGGCAAAGTTGGGCACCCCTGCTACAAATTAAGCTTTGTATGACAACACAAACCACTAAACCAAAAGGGAATAAAACGGGAGCAACATGCTCAAGACCTGCTTACCAACAAAGCTGGCTGAGGAATTCTGGGAGTTGAAGTCCACAAGTCTTAAAGTTGCCAAGGTTGAGGACCCCTGCTATAGGTGTTATTTGCTATCCCTTTTGCACAGGGATTTTTTTTTTTTTTACTATACCATGTGGAGCTAATTTGTGGGTCTTCTATCCCTTTCTCTTACTTTTCATGCATTCTGAAAGGATCAGGAAAACTTTAAATATTTGCAGATTCATTTTTGGGGTAGGCTTCAGTACGTTTGCCCATATGTGTGTGTGTTTGGATTGCTCCCCATTATGGAAATTGATGAGTGAATTGAGTGAGTTTTCTCCTTACCTATCATTTTAAACAGTCAACCGAGATGGATTGCACAACGGGCTGGTGTGTCAAAGTTGCATTGGGAACAAAGACGAATGTGGTTTTACGGCCCCTTCGCAGCAATGCTACGGGAGTGCAGATCGATGCGTGCAAATTTCCCAACGTTTCCTTCCAGGTACCAGTGGGTGTCGATGTGAGATAACGTGGCAGGGCTGTGTGACAAAATGCACAACTTCTCTGTTCCAGTTGGTGGACAGAAGTTTTATTCATGGTTTCTGTCGCTTGGAATTTTCTATCATAGTGAAAAATAGCTACTTTCCTATTGAAGAAAGAAAATAAGAGAATTAAAAAAACTCTCCCCTTAAGGTGCAGCTATCTGTTGTGTAAATGTGGCTCATGAGCAGTTCAAGATCAATTCAACTCAACCCCTTAGCCCAGTGGTTCTCAACCTGTGGGTCGGGACCCCATTTGGGGTCGAACAACCATTTCACAGGGGTCGCCAAACAAGGCTGTCCACCATTTCCCCCCCCTTTTCTTTGGCCACGCCCCTGGCACCCAGTGATGTATAAGTGGTTGGGGGTCACCACAACATGGGGAACTGTATTATGGGGTCGCGGCATTAGAAAGGTTGAGAACCACTGCCTTAGCCATACTGAAAAAAAAAAGTAGTACAAATTTTGCAGAAAGCTTTTAATTAAAAGTAAAAGAACTCAAGATTTTATTTTATTTAACTGGATAACCTGTGAATTTGCTTCTGAACTTGTATGTGTGTGTTTGGATGTATGTGTGTGTGTAAGTAAATTCACAGGTTGGCCAGTTAAATATATATAATAGAAGAGTATATGGCATTATTTTTAGTTGAATGGTTATGGAAATCTTCCCAAATTAAAGCAGACTTCTTGCATCATAGTACTCTGGGAACTAGTAGGGAGGTGCCATCTTCACCCGCATTTTCTCACACAGTTTTCTTGGGCTCTTCTGGAATGCAGCCCCTCCCTCCTGGGAATCCAGACTACATTCCATCACACTGTAAGATGAATGATTGAGGGAATTAGGTATGTGTAGTCTGCTGAAAAGAAGGACTACGGGGTGACATGATAATACTTTTGCAGTACTTGAGGGGCTGCCACAGAGAACATGTGTGTGTGTGTGTGTGTGTGTATATGTATTCTCCAAAGCGGTAATGGGAGAAGAAGTAATGGGTGGAAACTTATCAGAAAAGATCCAATCTAGAAATAAAGAGAAATTTCCTGACAGTGAGAACAATTAATCGGTGGAATGGGTAATCTCTAGAAGTTGTGAGTGCTCCATCACTGGAGGTTTTCAAGATGAGACTGGATAGCCATTCCTCCAGAATGATGTAAGGCAAGGGTAGGCAACCTCGGCTCTTTTATGATTCATGGACTTCAACCCCCAGAATTCCTGAGTCAGCTATGCTGAGGGGAAAGGGAGAGGTTTCCAAGCTGAGCCATGCTGACTCAGGAATTCTGGGAGTTGAAGTCCATGAGTCATAAAAGAGTCGAGGTTGCCTACCCCTGGTGTAAGGTCACCTGTCGGAGCAGGGACTTGAACCCGAAGACCTATAAGATGCCTTCCAATCGTCTTATTCTGTCTTCTACAAGTATTGCTAAAGCACTTTGAACAGATTATGATAGACTATGATCCTGGTACCTAAGAATTACTGGATGACTGTCCTCTTCAGGAGAAGAACTAGAACCCATCATAAAGGGATGTGGAAATAACTCCTTCCAAGATCTGCAGGTGCTCTACCAGATTGGAAAAGACTTTGCTTTCCTTGACCAAAAAGTTTGTGGCCAACCCAACTGCAATAATAGAAGTTTTCCAGGTAAGTCCAACAAAGTCATTGTACTTCTTTTTTTCATCCTATTCTGTCATATTGTCAAGTGCCCTGAATCCTTTGAAGTGGAGTGATATAGAAATAGAGGCATGAATAAATGTAACTATAAAGAGCTACATCCAAACCCTATCCAGTTCACCACTAGATGACAGTAAAGAGGTATGGAAATATAATTGATTACTGTAATAATGTGTTTCTCAATCTGGGCAACTTGAAGATCTGTGGACTTCAACTCCCAGAATTCCATGCTAGCTAGGGCATTCTGGGAGTTGAAGCCCATACATCTTTAAGTTGCTCAGGTTGAGAAACATTGACTTAATCTACTCTGCCCGGAATCTTTACTAAAGTCAGATGGAGTAACAATTGCACAATCTCAGCAATGATCCGTTTATTTATAGAGAATACCTTTTTGGAAACTGTGCCTTTGTTTTAAATAAAAAAGGATTATAACAAGACATAATAATCATAAAACAAGCAGAGTTGCTGAAAGGGAAGACAAAAATGAGTATCTTTATATATATATAGCTATACCATTCTCTCTTTATTCTTTGTTAGCAAAACCTAAAAACCTAAATATATATATATATATATATATATATATATATATATATATATATATATATATATATATATATGTAGGTCTTTGGTTGTTCGGGTTTTCTCCCCGTAAAATTGGAAGTGTCTTGGACACTTCCAATTTTACGTGGGAGAAAACCGAACAACAAAGACCTACATACAAATACCCGCGAAAACCTCAGAAAACAAATATATATATATATACACACACACACACACCACACACACACAACACACACACACAACATTATATATATAATATATATATATATATATATATAACACATATATAGTCAATTACCAATAAAACATGAACACCAGGAATATAATAAACTATAAAAGTCTAATACCATCACCGATCACCAAGCTTTCGTCAGATACTTCTGACATCGTCAGGGTTAATGCTGGTCTGTGGGAGAGTGCCTTTATAGGTGAGCCATCATTTGCACACGGCTCTTAGATCTTGTCATAGGTCCTAATTGATTTAACTGCTTTTTAATTATGGCTTCCATACTGATGACTCTTTTCTTGCTTTTACTGCTTGTGGGAGGGAAATGGAAAGCAAGGGATGGGGAGAAAGGCTGAGAGTGTGCCCCCACAGAATGAGGGATGACAATTGGGGAACAAGTAAAGATCAGAAGAAGGAAGAAGGTAGGAGACACGGAGGTGTGAAGAGGGAACAACTTAGAGATACGAATGACCAAAAAAGGGGAGGAAAGAACCTCCCTAATTCAAGACAGTGGGAGGTAGAGGGGAATAATGACACACCCACAAGCAGTAAAAGCAAGAAAAGAGGAGTCATCAGTATGGAAGCCATAATTAAAAAGCAGTTAAATCAATTAGGACCTACGACAAGATCTAAGAGCCATGTGCAAATGATGGCTCACCTATAAAGGCACTCTCCCACAGACCAGCATTAACCCTGACGATGTCAGAAGTATCTGACGAAAGCTTGGTGATCGGTGATGGTATTAAACTTTTATAGTTTATTATATTCCTGGTGTTCATGTTTTATTGGTAATTGACTATGGATTCACCCAGGAATCACATTTTTATTTTCACTATTCTTATTAATATATTATATATATATATATATATGCTGTGTCATTGTTAAATAATTTTTTTAATGAAAATAAATAAAAATAGAGGCAGATAAATAGCTCAAGTTCACACAGATTAAGCAAATGCCAGTTTTGGGCAACAATATTGTAAATCACCTTGTCAGGACCATGGGATGGCCAGAAATGTGGGCGGTATCCAAAATGAGGTCACATGACTGCAGGGACGTGACCTGGTCCATTGAAACAATTACAGTGAGAAAAATTAACCAGTGGAATGACTTGCCTCCAGAAGTTGTGGGTGCTCAAACACTGGAGGTTTTTAAGAAGAGACTGGATAGCCCTTTATCTGGAATGGTGTAGGATCTCCTGCTTGAGCAGGGGGTTGGACTAGATGACCTCCAAGGTCCCTTCCAACTCTGTTATTCTGAAACTCAGGAACCGTGTTATAAGTACCTTTTGGAGGGGGGATTGTCGAAACTTTGAATGGTTGCTAATCAGTTGTAAGTCGAGGATTCCTTAGACCAGGGGTGTCATTGAGGGCCGCATCAGCATTGTGATTGCCCTCAGGGGCCCGGGTGGGTGTGGCCAGGGTGGGTGTGGCCTACTGGGTGGGCGTGGATGGAGTGGGTGTGGCCTACTGGGTGGGCATGGCCAGCTCTACATCGTTCGCGTCAAGGGCACCTGTGGGGGCCTGGGCAGGAGTGGGACAGATCTGAGGGTCTCTGGCAGAAGGGGGTGGGATTGGGGCAAGCGCCAAGGCATGGTCCACTGGAGGAGCCTCACTGCCTTCTGAAACCCCTCCGCCGGAGCCCATCAAGCCAGATAGGTGAAGTACGCGAGGGCCATTTGCTGGCCACTTCCAGGCGATGGTGCATTTCTTCATTCCTCACAAAGGGTGACACCTCTCCAGCATGCACCCAGGGAACGGGGCTGACGCAGCAGGGGCTGGTTCCTCGCTGTTTGTAGACGGCCTTGTGGAGCTAAGACTGAATGCGTTTCAGCATAGATGGCCACCACAAAATTCTACATTGGCTCCCGGCCGGCCTGGGCCAGGGCCAAGGCAGCAGGGGCTGTTCCCTCACTGTTTCCAGGATGGCTTCGCGGGCCACATGAAACCACTTTGCAGGCCGCGTCCGGCCCCCGGCCCTTGTGTTTGCCATGTCTGCCTTAGACTGAAAAGCAGTCACTGCATCAGTTTTAAGAACATTTTCCTAGAAAGCAAATTCATGGTTTTGGTTTTGTGTTATTTTATTTGTCTATAGGCATTCTTTTGCGGCCCTTTTATGTGATTGTTTTTTCTGTATTTGTACATTTTAGTTTATAATCCACCTAAAGTTATTTGGAAAAAAAAATGTGGGAACGAATTGAACGCAAACAACAAAGAGCAGTTTTCCTCTCGGCTCAGCAATTAGCTTACCATAAATAAAATCTCTGCAACTGTTTAACTGCCTTAACTTCCTCACTTCTTCCATTTCATCTGCTTCCCTTCAGGCCTTCTGGTGTCCACTTATCATTGGCAGAAACCGTGATCAGCGCCTTTATTTTTTTCCCTGCCTGCAGAGATCCTCGCTGGACAGCCCAACGGGCTACAGTGTTATACCTGTCGGGATTCAGGCCTTGGAGAGAGCCCCTGCCACAAAGGGCAGATCTTGAGGTGCCCTGGAGCCATGAACCGGTGTGTGCGCATCATAAAAGGAGGTAAAGAGAAGGCTTAAAATTGAGCTGATACGAAAGACAGAGAAAGAGAGGTGAAAAAAAATCTCTATACAGGTAGTGCTCAACTTAAGGCCATGATTGTTTAAGGATTATCAACCTTGAGTCAACCTTGAGCCGGTGAGATTTGAACCACTGACCTGCTGAACACAGTCAGCTAAAGTGGCCTGCAGTACTGCACTCTAACTGCTGCGCCACCTCGGCTCTATGTGTCTTGGCGACGTTTCGACGAAGTCCCATTCGTCATCTTCAGGCTGGTGCTTTCAGCTTCGTGCCTCGAGCAGCAGTGTGTGGTCTTGGCTGTTTCTTCCTTTTAACTGCCAGTGGAGGTATGAACTGATTGGGTGGGAGCTTGGCTGTGTTCTGATTGGGTGGAGGTGTGTTCTGATTGGTTAGGGGCTTGGCTGTGCTCTGATTGGCTGGGGGGTTGGCTGTGCTCTGATTGGCTGGGGGGTTGGCTGTGCTCTGATTGGCTGGGGGAGTGTTCTGTTTGGTTGTGCTCAGGTTAGTCTGAGTTGCAGAGGGATTCAAGATTTTGGGCTGCCCTGCCATTCCTTGGCTTCGCGTTCGTGGTCGTGCTTCCTCTTCATGGAGGGTGTCAGTTTGCTTCATGTATGGATTGGGGGGGTTTAAAGTGGCTAATGATGCAGCTGTGGTCTGGCTTCTGGTTTGTGGTCGTGCCTCATAGTCAGTGTGGCTTTGGGTTTGTTTTTTGCGTGGATGTTTGGTGGTGACCTCCTGTGTGGTTTTTGTGAGTGTGGGTCTGGTATCATTTTTTGTGTTAGGGAGTCGTTTGTCAATGAGGGCGGGTTTCCAAATGGCTGGTAGGCGGGAGGTATCATCTCGCTTGTTCATGCTGTGTGGGCGTTTTTCTATCTCGATGGCTTCTCTGATTATTCTGTTATTAAAATGTTCACTTTTGGCAATGGTTCTGGTATTTTTAAAGTCAATTTCATGTCCTGTAGCTTTAAGGTGTTGGACCAGGGAAGATGTTGGTTCCTCTTTTTTGACTGAGTTCTTATGTTCTTCAATGCGTGCACTTATTCTTCTGTTGGTTTGTCCGATGTATGTGGTGGGACAAGTGGTGCATGGGATTTCGTATACTCCTTGATTTTCTAATTCAATTTTATCTTTGGGGTTTCTAAGGATGGTGGATATTTTTCTGTTTGTGCAGAATGCTGTTTTGATGTTGTGTTTATGGAGGATCTTACTGATTCTGTCTGTGATGCCTTTTATGTATGGGAGGATGGCTTTGCCGTTTTCTTGTTCTTTGTCTTGGATTTTAGTGGGGGTTTCTTTTTGGATTAGGTTTGTAATCTTATTTCTATGGAATCCATTGGATGTTAGTACATTGGTGAGAGTGTGTAGTTCGGGTTTTAGGTGTTGTTCGTCAGCTAAGCGTTTTGTTCTGGAGATGAGTGTCTTGGCTACAGAGTTGATCTGTGCTGGGTGGTGGTGTGAGAGAGCGTGCAGATAGCGGTTTGTGTGTGTTTTCTTCTGGTAGATGGTGTGTCCTAGGGAGCCATTGGATTTCTTGTAGACTAAGACATCCAGGAAGGGAAGTTGGTTGTTAGTTTCTGTTTCCATGGTGAACTGTATTTTGGGGTGTAGGCTGTTGAGGTGTGTGAGGAAGTTGTCCAGTTTTTCTTTCCCATGTGGCCAGATTATGAAGGTGTCGTCTACGTATCTGAGCCAGAGTTTGGGTTTGTGATCAGATTTTTCTAGAGCTTGGGTTCAAAGTGTTCCATGTAGAGGTTGGCAATGACAGGTGAGAGGGGTGATCCCATGGGTGCTCCTTCTGTTTGTTTGTATTTTTGTCCATTATAGATGAAGTATGTGTTGGATAGGCAGTGGTTGGTCAGATCTAAGATGTGTTTGGAATCAGAACACAGCCAAGCTCCCACCCAATCAGTTCATACCCCACTGGCAGTTAAAAGGAAGAAACAGCCAAGACCACACACTGCTGCTCGAGGCACGAAGCTGAAAGCACCAGCCTGAAGATGACGAATGGGAGTTCGTCGAAACGTCGCCAAGACACTTCCAATTTTACGTGGGAGAAAACCCGAACAACCAAAGACCTACATACAAATACCCGCGAAAACCTCAGAAAACATCTATATATATATATATATATATATATATATATATATATATATAAAACTATGTTTAACATAGTTGCAGTGTCCCCTTATCTACCCCATCCATCCATCCAGCCACTACATACATACATACATACATCTATATATCTATATATAGATATCCATCTATACATCCACATATTCCTCCATCCATTCATCCAGCCAATCCATCCATCCATCTACCCCATCTATATATACTTCCCTCCAGCTATTCCTCCATCCATCCATCCATCCATCCATCCATCCAATCATCCCATCCATCTGTAAATCCATATATTCCTCCAGCCTTTCATCCAGCCACTTCATCCATCCATCCATCTTCCATCCATCCATCCATCCATCCATCCATCCATCCATCATATCAACCCATCCATCTATACATCCATCTATTCCTCCAGCCACTCCATCCATCCATCCATCCCTCCATCCCTCCATCCATCCATCCCTCCATCCCTCCATCCATCCATCCATCCATCTATCCCCAGATACCAGACAGGCACAATCCTCCCTGTTAAAATAATGCAGCAAAATGGCTTCACCTCTCAGGAGAATCTCCCTGTCCCATTACTGTGTGACTTGTAGTTTAATGCTTCTCTTCCCACCTAACCTGGTTGACTCAATTTTCTTGAGATTCTTCTTCCTCCGTTTCTGTAGTGGTTATAATTTTTACAGGAATGCGTTGTTAGCCCGCCACTCAACTCTCCTCCTTTCTCATACGGGTTTAGGACTGGCAATGGTGGAGTCAATACTGGAGATCCCTTGCTGCCCAATATGCTAGATAGCATGAGAGAGAAGAAGAGACTGGACAGCCATTTGTCCTAAATGGTATAGGGTTTCCTGCCTGAGCAGGGGGTTGGACTAGATGACCTCCAAGGTCCCTTCCAACTTTATTATTATGGATCATCGCACAGTCAGCCAGATGTTCAGACTGGATTTGGCATTTTGTCTAATTATTATTATTATTATTATTATTATTATTATTATTATTATTATTATTATTATTATTATTATTATTATTAATGTCAATGCTAAATGCTTCCCAGCTCTGGCCTCCATCTCCTGCAAAAGCCCACACAATGTTTTTTTTTTTTTTTTTTAAAAAAACAAAACCAGGGAAATCTTCTGATGCAATTTAAACTTTTTTCTTGTTGGGGATGCGTCACTGGGCACAAAACTTTAACGGCCTTATTTAACTGTTTAGGTTCTCTAGGTTCTTCAATCAGAAAATTACGTTTAAAAAAAGGAATTGCCACATACCCTTTTGTTATTGTTTTCCAGAAAATAAAACCACAGCGGTGACTGTCCAAAAGGGCTGCGCCACGGAATCCATGTGCAGGAGAGACACCGATATATATTTTAGACTGAAGAGAGAAAATTCTCACGCTGAATGTTGTAAAAGCAATCTTTGTAACAAAGCCCACCGTCCTACCAGCCCGGAACTGGTGATCCTTCTTAGTTCATGGTGGGTGGTGTTCAAAGTCTATCAATAACCACCCCAGGTTCCTCTGGGGCATAGAAATACATTTGGGACATTTTGGTGGTGATTCTTTTTTTGGGGGGGGGGGGGCTCTGCCACTCAAATGTAAAATCTTTGTTGCTTTTCTAAAAATGTGGTTTTTCTTTTTCCCAATTTGCCCACTGAGAAGATGAGGTCTCATTTGAGTTGACCTCATTTTTAGGTGAAACACAGATATGTAGTTTTCTAGGCCACTGTACAGAAGATACTGTCTTTCTCCAAAATGCTTTCTCAGACTTTCCAATTGAAATGGAAACCTTGGTGTTCTCCCTCCAAATACTAACCAGATATTGACTGTTGGAAGTAAAACTAGAGAGTGTTAAAACTAGTAGAAAAATGAAATTCCCTCACAGGTAAAAGGAGAGGATTTTGATCACATGTTTGCAGCCACCATCTTGACTTTTCTGACCCCCCCCCCCGTGGATGCCTCTGCTACTATTTATTTTTTTGCCCTTGATCTATAGCAGACATGTCAAACACAAGGCCCGGGGGCCGGATGCGGCCTGTGAAGTGGTTTCATGTGGCCCGCGAAGCCATCCTGGAAACACTGAGGGAACGGCCCCCGCTGCCTTGGCCCTGGCTGTGTTTCTTGCCTGTTTTTCTCCCTCCCTCATCTCAAATATTTTCCCATCACTCTGTACTTAGGAAGGAAGAAAGGAAAGAAGGGGAGGGAGGGTCTCAGGGAACTCCTGCCTTAGTCCTGCCCTGCTGCCCTTTTACCATCCCCTTGCCCCTTCCCCCTGGCCTATCCTGGGGTCTCCCGTCCTATTGATAAGGAAGCTTTGGATACAAAGCTGGGTCTTCTCCCATGGAGAGGGAATGGGCCTTCCTCTGTCTTTGCCCTCGTACCCATCATGAGCAACCTGGCTAAGGAGAGCAAGCACAGCAGCAGCAGCCTTGAGGAGGAGGTAAGTGCAGCTGGGTGCCCCCTTGGGGAAGTGGGGCTGGGCTTGGTGCCATGGGTGCTCGAGGGCCAGGCTGGGCATTTGATCTCTGTTGCCCAGGGCTCCAGGCAGCCCGCATCACCATCCAGCCGCCCACATGGCCTGAGAGGAACGGTGAGGCTCCTCCAGTGGACCATGCCTTGGCACTTGCCCTGGTCCCACCCCCTTCTGCCAGAGACCCTCAGATCTGTCCCACTCCTGCCCAGGCCCCCACAGGCACTCTTGACGCAGAGCTGGCCATGCCCACCCAATAGGCCACACCCACTCCACACCCACCCTGGCCACACCCACCCAGCCCCCCGAGGGCAACCGCAATGCTGATGCGGCCCTCAATGAAATTGAGTTTGACACCTCTGCTTTATATGTTACCAAAACTGGAACCTTCAACTCAGCAAAACAGTACATTGTAGGGCAACAGTTTTGGAATCAATGTATCTCAAATCAGCCAACTTAAAGAAGGCTCCCCCAAATCTTGGGATTCGCTAGTCCCATTGAACTAAAATTTGACAAAGTTGTGGCCTTTTAAGTGCCATCGCTTTCCCATGCCAGTCTGCTGCCACTCTCAGGCATGGCCAGGCGATTGTCATTTCCAAGGATGCCTGCCAGCTTTCCCTAAGGAAAGACAATGGGGAAGTCGGCAGGAAGTCAAAAGTTGTTCCTGCTTCCACTGCTTTTTTTTGCTTGCCAGCGGTCGTCACCCTTTCTCTATTTACATAAGGAAATTTCTCTGAAACAACGACCCATCGGGTCACAGTGATAAGCTCCAAAACCCAAAATGATGAGTGATGGGTTGTTTTTTTTTTTTTGTAAGCAATTTCTTTTATTGTTCCTCACCTATATATTGCTGGGAAAGATGGAGGGCAATAGAAGAAGGGGGCGACAGAGAAGGAGGTGACTGGATGAAGTCACTGAAGCAGTAAGCGTGAGCCTAAATGGACTCCAGAAGATGGTAGAGGACAGGAAAGGCCTGTAGGAACGTTGTCCATGGGGTCGCGATGGCTTGGACACGACTTTGTAACTAACAACAACAATCTATGGAATCTTGCCAAACTAAAGCAAAGTACTTGCGTAATTAAAGATATACTCTGGAGTATATCTAGGTAGGAGCTTCTTCCTCCCAACCAAGGTATCTAAACTTCTCTTGTTCCTCTGGAATGCAGCCCCTCCCTTCTGGGAATCCAGACCACATTCCACTACATACAGGTTTTCTAGTAATCCACATATATGTGTATGTGTGTGTGTGTGTGTTTGTCCAGCTATATTTTTAGGCATGAATATGCACTGTGTATAGCACACAACTGTCTGTCCGATAACATTAATAGTATCAGTCTATGAAAGATTATAGAATGAGAAATGTGTTTTATCTCACAAGTGGCGAAAGGTCTTTTTCCTTTTCTGTCTCCTGCCACAACTCTCTCAATCCTTGTTTGGGGAACAACTGCAACCAGATGTCCTGGTTCATAAAGAGGCAGGGTAATTACAATAATGAAGGAGGTGCAGCCAACTCAGGGAGGGGCCTTTGATCTGCAGAAGATGAGTAACAACTGGAAATCCTGCTGAATGTTCAGCGGACAAGCAAAGTTCTCTTGCCTCCATACCAGCTATGGGAGCCCAATTTGGAATTTCAGAGAAGGAATGAAGGAAAGGTTCTAGAGAATGGCCAACTGACTCCCAGGACAGAAAGTTACGTGGAGATCCTGCACCCTCAACCTGTGTCCAAGGTAAGATGTCTTAGATTGAGATCTGAGCTGTTGCACTGTGCAGAAACATCCAAAGGAGACACGGTGATCCTTGTAACGTCATCTCAGAGGCATCTGTTAATGCTAGAACTCTCTCCCAGCTTTATTTTATTTTCTGTATTTAATCAAGAAAGTGTCCCAAAGCTTTTGAGGAGCAGGAGAAAACCATATTCTGTAGTGGTCCACCTAGGAAGTCCTCCTCTCCCTGTATATGGCAGGTGCTTCCAAGAACACCTGTGGTGTCCATCTCTTCCCCACCTCCGTGAATTGAGACGGGACCTCAAAATGTGTCCTCAGCTGCACTCTTTAGGGGAAAATCAATGTCTTTCAGAGAGGTTGATCTGCCATCACTGATCTTATTGAGGACTTTTTTGAGGACTGTTTCCTAGCAGCCACGCTTGGAAAAATCATGCTCTTTTTGCCTTCAACTTGCCGTACAAGATTTATTTTTAAATCATTTAATGTCTGCTTTTTTTTTGCCCTTATACTTTTGACTCACTCCTTTCCTTCCAGCTTTTCTCTTCTTTATTCTTGCTTTGTATTCATATTCTGATCTTTTTTTAAAAAAATTAACCCCAAGAGATTGAGAACCTCTAGCTTGGTATATCAATTTTCAATTTAATTGTAAGAACAAATCAGTGAAATAGTCAAGCGTTTTACCTCACCAATGAGTAGTTCAGCTTGTATCTCTGTTCCCAGCTAAGAATATTTCTCCTTCTTTGCTGAGAGAGAGAGAGAGAGAGAGAGAGAGAGAGAGAGGTGAGATTCTGTCATATGCAATTCTGTCATGACTCATCTGAGAACGGATTGCAGTTGAGGTGTCTGTTGTAATTCTCCAATGGATATTTTACAACTCCAATGGATGTTTTACAACTCCAATGGATGGCGGGGGAGGCAGCCTGCTACTCATGAGTCTGACTGGGTTGAATTTTACTACATGTTCTGCTGCCTTTTGGGAACTCTAAAAAAAGTTGTAACCGAGCAAAGAAATATTCTGGCATCTGATCTTCTCTAAATCTGCCCTCAGCAACCTTTCCAGGTCATAGTCGCTGATTTTGTTTTTAGTTACAAAAAGGGCTAAATTTTCATGAGTTTCCATGAGTTGGCTCTGACGCCTTTCTTTATCCGTGTCAGACATGCCTTCAAATTACGAACATGTAACATTCAACACTGAGCAAATAAGATAGGTATAAAATAGGTCATGAAAATATATCACATTCTAAGAAGTATATGTCAATGTGAAAAGTATATGGCTATAAATAAAGTATATGGCTACGTCATGACGTTATGGCAGCTTTTTCTGCTACCCATTTTAACCAGTCTAAGGTCTCCCTTCCTTCCTTCTCAGGGAAATCAATCATGCAGTGGAATGCTCCTTTTTCTCCAATTTATCATCATCATTATAATCATTGCAGTGGCACTTTATGTTCTGCCCATCCTGAAGGATTACCTGCTTTTATCACATCTGCAGGAATTGCTCTTCTGGATAATTAATTAGAATAGAATAGAATAGAATAGAATAGAATTAGAATATAATAGAATTAATAGAATAGAAATACAGAATAGAATAGAGTAGAATAGAATATAATAGAATTAATAGAATAGAAATACAGAATAGAGTAGAATAGAATTAGAATAGAATAGAATAGAATAGAATAGAAATACAGAATAGAATAGAGTAGAATAGAATTAGAATAAGAACTAGAATTAGAATAGAACAGAATTAATAGAAAAGAATAGAACAGAATTAATAGAATAGAATAGAACAGAATTAATAGAATAGAATAGAAATACAGAATAGAGTAGAGTAGAGTAGAATTAGAATAGAATAGATAGCATAGCATAGAATAGAGAATAAGAATAGAGAATAAGAATAAAATAGAATAGAGAATAAGAATAGGGAATAAGAACAGGAAATAAGAATAGAATAGAATAGAATAGAATAGAATAGAATAGAATAGAATAGAATAGAATAGAATAGAATAGAATAGAGCAGCAGCTACCAAATTGTTTGGGGACTGTGTTGGGCTTCACGGATCACAAATTATTCAGGCAGGTTAGTATGGAATTTAGTCAGGACTACTCTTATCTAAAATCTTTGCATTTTTTAAACATTCCCCCATTAACCTTGGCTAAATCATTTTGCCTCTGGGCAAAGGTAACCATTAGATGCAGATTCAAGAGCTCCCCCCACCCTTGTATTTAATACTTTATTTGTTGCTTCTGTTTTTTATGTGTATGTTTGCTTAAAAAAGTAGAATCAAAAGATGAACTCGGGGAGGGTGAGCTGATATCTCCATCTGTAGCACTTTTCCCAATCTGGTGCAATAGTAATAGGCACCTTGAGTGCAATCCCAAAATATCTGGAGCACCACTGGAGCACTATTGGCGTTGACAGAATCATCATCAGTCCATATCCAAAGGCAGCATCACTTGGAACAGCTGGCATCCTGTGAGGATACCTTTAACATCATTAAGCAGCAGCATCTGCCTATCCCAGATGCTTGGGGAGCACTCAAAACATTGGACAAAAATGCCAAATCCAGTCTAAGCATCTGGCTGATTGTACCATGAATCATAAAACATAATTATTCCCAAGCTGGACTGCCAACTTTTCAGCTGACTCAAAAGCGATGCCTTTGAGAGCAGGTGATAGATGAAAATCAGCCCAAGTTTGTAGTCCTCACTGCTGATTTCTGCAGATCAAGTCACTGCGATTCCCTTAGCAACCCTAAAAAACTGCACCAACCAGGAGCACCAACCAGTTCTCAGCTACTGTAAGTAGCTCGTGTTTCTTCCATGCAGACGGTTTCAGTCCTGATACAAATTTGCTCTTGGTTGGTGCAGTTTTCTTGAGTGCTCAGGCATGTGTAACAAACGAGGCCTGAAGCATTACTGCAGGCACTAACTGAACCCCTTTCAGAGGAAAATCAATCCAGAGCAGGCCAGAGAACTGATTCATCCTCCCTATTACCTGTCTGTAGAATTTCCCCCAAACAGAGGATTTTTTCCTAAACTGTGCATACCATATATGCATACCATAGATTAAGCATCATGGGATATAATAGCAAATCTGAGATGCCCCATGCCAGATTCCATTTTGCAGGAAAGCAAACCATTGTTAAGCTAAGTGTGAGCCTCTCCTTTGCTCCTTGCAGAGAAGAGAGAATTTGGGCAAACAGATTTTTTTCCCCCTCCACCCTGGACCAGAGTGACAGGACAAGCTAACCCCTGCTGAAATGATATCTTCTCACTATTTAGAAGTTCTGCCTCTATTGCATCTGATCTCCCAACCCAGGGAAGCTGGAAATCAGAAGCACCCTTCCTAGCAGAAAGGATAAAAGATTATTCAACTGTAGCAAGGAGTTTCTTTGGCAACAACCCAACTGTGGCCAGCAAGGCAAATAGGATAACGATGAGCTCTGGATCTGCTTTCATTGTTTCGTGTCTCACTTCTCCAGTCTGTCCTGTTCTGCGGCTTGGCTTGGTAAACATTCCTAGTTCTGAGTCTCTGTCCCATTTGATTGAGACAGACGGCTTGGCCTAAAACCTGCTTGGCAGCTCCAGGATGAAAGCAGCTGGTGATGCAACCTATCCATTACTAAGGTGGTGCCTGAGAACAAAATCAGTTACCCTTTGTCACTGGTTGCTTTGGAGGAAGATCTGAGGACTGGTGGTGATTGGGAACAGAGGCAGTACTAGGGGCAGCATAAGGCTCAGTCACAGGGGGAGTGAATGCTGTTCTAACTGAAGGATGGGTGCAAAGTGCTGAAAACTGGATTGCACATGACAGAGAAGAGATGTAATTAATTAATTCAGAATATAGTTGGAAGGGACCTTGGAGATCTCAAGCAGGAGACCCTATCCCATTTCAGACAAGTGGCTGTCCAGTCTCTTATTAAAAGCCTCCAGTGCTCCACAACTTCTGGAGGCAAGCTGGCTAATTGTTTTCACTGTTAGGAAGTTTCTCCTTAATTCCAGGTTGCTTCTCTCCTTGATGAGTTTCCATCCCTTGTGTCTTGTCCTGCCTTCAAGTGCTTTGGAAAACAAGTGGATCCCTTCTGCTTTGTGGTCAATGTCTTTGAGAGGAAGATTCTGCGTTAAGTGCTGGTATTAAACCTTGTAAGCTGAGTCTTTCAGTGGCTATTTGCAGAATTTATACATCACATTTTCAGAACTTCTGATGCTGTTTTCTGGTAGTACAAATACACAAGAGTGAGTCTGGTGTGGTGGTTAAGGTGCTGGCCTAGAAATCAGGAAACTCTGAGTTCTACTCCTGCCTCAAGCACAAAAGCTGACTGGAGGACTTTGGATCAGTCTTGAGGAGACTCTGAGTTCTGGCATGAAAGCCAAATGGGTGACTTTGGGCCAGTCATTCTTTCTCAGTCCAATCCACCTCACAAGTTGTTGTTGTGGGGCAAATAGGAGGAGAAAGGAGTACTAGGCATGTTTGCTGCCTTGAGTTATTTATAAAGGCAGAATAAAAAAACCCAATCAAATAAATGCATTCCTACTGGCATGCAATAACACCCACAATGTACACCAGACATGTCAAACACAAGGCCCGGGGGCCGGATACAGCCCGCGAAGCCATCTTGGAAACAGTGAGGGAACGGCCCCCGCTGCCTTGGCCCTGGCCCAGGCCAGCCTGGAGCCAATGTACAATTTTGTGGTGGCCATCTATGCTGAAATGCATTCAGTCTTAGCTCCACAAGGCTCTCTACAAACAGCGAGGAACCAGCCCCTGCCGCATCGGCCCTACCCCCTGGGTGCATGCTGGGGAGGTGTCACCCTTTATGAGGAATGAAGAAATGCACCATTGCCTGAAAGTGGCCAGCAAATGGCCCTCTCCTACTTCACATATCCGGCTTGATGGGCTCTGTCCTGGTCCCACCACTTTCTGCCAGGGACCCTCAGATCTATCCCACTCCTGCCCAGGCCCCCACAGGCACCCTTGATGCGAATGATGTAGAGCTGGCCATGCCCACCCAGCAGGCCACACCCACTCCATCCACGCCCACCCAGTAGGCTGCACCCACCCGGCCCCCCGAGGGCAACCACAATGCTGATGCGGCCCTCAATGAAATTGAGTTTGACATCCCTGGTATACACAGTACATGTTTTCGAAAACATTCTGGAAGTGAGTGCCTAAATTTGCAGAGTGGGAAAATTTGCTTGCAGAAAGTTAGAGAAGGCCTGCCTTGGGTGGGTTCAGCCACTGCATCATTTTTATGACCCCTAACTTTAGAAATATCTCTGTGGCATCTGAGGTCACGTTTTGCTTCCTTGTTCATGAGACCTTTCAATTACTAGCAAAGGTTCTTTCCCTATAGGTAGCATTGCCCAATTTTGCCAGGGGTAAGGACAACACATTGGAGAATATATCATGGTGATGATGGCCAAGCATCCTTTTTTTTTTTTTACAACTGCACAACAACAGAACCAAGTATTTTTTTGCTCCCTGAAATGGATATCTTTGCAGCTGGAGATACAGCCAGGAAACTACAAGCCATCATTTTGGAAGCAAAAGAAAAATATCTGGAAGATATCATGATATATGGAAATGCCACTGGTTTGATGTGGCATTCTCTTGACCAGTGAAATTTCTTTTCTTCTTGACAGGTGATTGATGGTTATTCCAGAAGTTGAAAGAAAACTGCCCCGAGTATATTTCCAAAACTCAGAACTCTTACTCTGCATTGCAAAACCCGAAACATACCAAAACAAGCGGTAAATTGCCACCGCCCACACAATTGCACATATGCCCTCAGTTGGTTAATCTTGCCACCAGTTAAACACCAGTGTATAGTGACAAACTTCTCAACAAGAACAGATGACATTTTTTCATCCTCTTTTCAGCCAAATATATCATCTCTTGTTGTAGATAGTAGATTGCTTCTCGCCCACTGAGCAAGTTTGTAAATCAAATCTAGCCTGATTGCTTATTCCACCAACTCTTACTACAAGGTGTCCAACGTATGAGGAAGATGGCTATGTGGGAAGAATACTGCCAACAAATCAAGACCTTACTGCTGACTATCACATTTGTCTTCTGTCTATTGGATGCAGGTAAGAACAAACCTGTCGGGATGGGTGGTCTTCTCAGTGGGATGAGGGGAACCATCTACTGTTTAGGAAAGAGCTTCAAGATGCCTTTCAAATTTTATAGAAGGAAATGGACACAGGGAAAACGTTAGCTTTCTCCTGATTTGAGCCCCAATTTTCCTCTTTATGGGTCAATACCGCGTAAATATTTAGCAGAACCAATTACATAAATAATCTCCATTAAACTCAGTAAGACAAAAGTGAAGAAACTGTGGCCCACAGGATTTGATGAAACCCCGGGATAAAAAGCATTACTCCAGTTATGTTTAAACTATTGCAGGGGAATGTAGTTTAGGGTTTTGTGTGAACCAACTACTTACTAGTTGGTAAATATGTGTTGTTCCATCTCTGCACTGTGCAATACCCAAAAACAGTTAATTTAAGCCTATTGTGTCAGCATAGCCAGCTAGCCCTAATTATCTCCCCTTGAAACGAATGAGATATAAATTAAGCAAAGTGACTGGTTGATCGATTCCAGAGATGTTCCTCCTGTCTAATTTAGTTGGAAGGTCACAAAAACCAATTTTGAAATGCAACGCGAAAAGAAAACAGGTAACAGAAAATTCTCAATCATATCATATAGGTGACAGGTTAAATTGAAATGGCTTTTGATATGTAAAAATTCAAACTGAAACTATACATTCCATGTTTACCCAAAAAGAGGTAAATTAATGTTATTCATAAATCATGAACATTCTTAAAATATAGATTAAGTGTAGGGCTACATTTAAAAATACAACAGTGAATAAATACGGTACTGTATTTATGTAAAAAATTATAATACTGAAGGTAGAAGCCACACAAGGATATGGGATAGTCATTTATGCTTTTTTTTTTTTTAAAAAAGAGAAGGCATTGCACTCTCTCCTCCCAGTGACATCAAGTTACAGGTTTTGCAAAAACTAGTGTGTACATTTAGATGTACTTTTTAAAATAATTGCTAATGATTAATCTAGTACAGGGGTAGGCAACCTTGGCTCTTTTATGACTCGTGGACTTCAACTCTCAGAATTCCTGAGCCAGCCATGCTGAGGGGAAAGGGAGAGGTTTCCATGCTGAGCCATGCTGGCTCAGGAATTCTGGGAGTTGAAGTCCACCAGTCATAAAAGAGCCAAGGTTGCCTACCCCTGGTCTAGTAGAAAGGTAAATCTGCCTTATCATTAAGAAGCAGGCAGAGATCAGGGTAATAGAATTGGCTCTCTGAAGGCAATAAGTGGCTGAGTAACTTCACAATCCCTCCAGCTGTCCCTTTGGTCTTTAACCTGCACCCAGGAGGGTTAGATCTCCATATGGGGCTTGCCTTCAACTAGAAGCTGCCTTTTATAATGTGGGAAACCCACAGCCACTTTGCACATGCACAAAAAGCCTGTCTGTTCCTCAGACTAGTTGCAGGAAAGGTAGCCATGTTACCTTAGTGAAAATGCTAATGTTTTCATGTACAGTTTCCTCATCCTTACCCCAAACCATCATAGGTCAAGGTCTGGGTAGACCTGAAAAGACCAAAACCAATCAGGTGGGTATTGTCAGGCAAGCTGAGACAGTGGTCAGTTATGTGTGTGAATCAACTATGTGACCAGGTGAGTTTTAGGTCCAATTCCAGTGTAGCAGCCTAATCTTATTTCGACAATGCTGGCAAGGCAGTGATTCCAACCCAATATCAGGCTTCTTCCGAGGACACAAGACATACAACTGGCACACAGTCCTCTATTCTACCTGTTCTTTCCTCCTTCCCCACAATTCCTTATTGCTCATCCAAAAAACCCCAGATATAGATTGGGATATTATTCTTTCTACTTGCTTCTTAAGTCAGTTGTAAGAGTTGATCCCCAGGCTGACAAAAAGGGCAGATGTAAATAGCCAGCTTTTATTACTTTTTTGTGATTAGTGAATTGCCTTCTAGCAATCTAGACCAGGGCTTTTCAATCTTTTCACCCATTTTTATCACTTTTAGGATATGGCAATATCCAAGTACCACCAGTCGCCTAGCAAGGTGTCAAAACCTTGATGACCAAAAAAAAAAAAAAAAGGAAAAAAGTGATAAAGTACAGGTAGTCCTCGATTTACAACAGTTCGCTTAGCGACTGTTTGAAGTTACAATGGCACTGAAAAAAGTGCCCCCCCAAGCCACAACCGAGCAAGATACCTGCCTGCCCGCCTGGCGCTGCTCTTCCTCCTGTCCGAGGTTTTCATTGTTGTGAGCATTTCTGTTGAGGATTGGCAGCGGGGGTGGGGTGGGGGGTGTTTGGTTTTTATTCCCCCCATCTGCTGGGTGGTTGCAGCAGGTTTCGGTCACTTCACATGACCCTGGGACACTGTGACCGTCATAAATATGAATCAGTTGCCAAGCATCTGAATGTAAATCACAAGACCCTGGAGAGGCTGCAACATTCCAGCTGATCGACGCTTCTGGGCTCAGCGGAAGCCCCAGGATCAGCGCCGAGCTCCAGCTGGAGCTTGGTGCTGATCCTGGTGCTTCCACTGAGCCCTGACAGTTCCGAAGAAGCGCTGATCCTGGTGCTTCTTCTGAGCCCTGACAGCCCTGCAGCTCCAGTCATCTTTCACTCAGGCTTGTGTGGTGCTGCCATGGGTTCAGCTCATTCCCCTCCCCCACTACCTTTCTAGGATGCTGGCGTACCACCTGCCAGGTGCCAATGTACCACAGGTGGCACCCATACCACTGGTTGAAAAGCCCTGATCTAGCTGATCACAGGCTATTGGGAGGAAAATAAATACATTTCTATCTTACTGCACATAGCGTATATTGGTTCTAAATAGGAAAGAATTCAGTTGCTGGGATTCTTCTAATCCTTTCCTATCCATCTCAGTAAATCTTGATAAGGAGAAATCAGAACTGTGCTTGAAGAAGAGCTTTGCATATTATGCAGTGGCTAGAAGACTTGACAAAAGGCTTTCAAAATGTTATTGTCAGGTGAAACAAACCAGAACCATTTGTGAATAAGAAAAGTCAGCAACCATCTTATGTTACAAGAATCTTACCAGACTGCTTGTCTTTCCCTGGACATGACCAGATAAGGTTTCAGAGGTGTTGGGGGAAGTTAAGCTTATGTTGCTTGTGGTGGCACAAGGATTCCAAGCTAGGCCCTCACTTGACTCCCTCCTTTCAGATTGGCTGGCATTTTCCCAACAGTTGCCATTTGCCTGTTGTTTTTCCTTCTCTATAGTGAGTGGCCTGTGGTGCTATCAGTGTGTTGGGATGTTCCATGAATGTGTCCAGTCGGAGCAATTGTGTGCATCAAGGGATCGGTCCTGCTTCTCCTCTACCATCAAACTTTTCTGTAAGTAGACTCCCCCAATTTTATGTATCTACTAGGATGCTCATTTACTTCACCTTTCTGTTCAAAATGGACCATTTTTATCTGCTTGCAAGAAGTCCAGACTAATGGCCCAATGCTTTCCACAAGGAGGGGATGACCTAACATTTGTTAGCCAGTTCACCAGCAATTTCAAAAAAAATAATTAGAAAAAAAAGTATGCAAGCTTAATGCCATTTCAAAAGCACTGACTGCAGTTTGACCAAGATGACCATCCCCTTGTCTCCCAGAGCTCTAAATCTGCCAGAGGATGCTGCCTTACAGTCTCCTTGCAAGGAGTAGCTGTCTGGAACACTTATGAGTAATCTCAAGTCCTCTCCTTGTCCAGAGAGGTTTCGAAGAACCGATCTAACCCTGGCTCTTCTTTCCACCCCAGTCATCAGCTCTGATTTTCATGGCGATCACCGCTGGTCTATCTTTTTGTCCTTCAGAAGTCCTCATCCTGATTTTAATCTGAATGCTTCCTTCTCTGGTGCAGAGTCTCCTCAAGCTGATGGGAGTTGTATATTCCTTGTTTTGGTCAATCCCTGGAAATTGGCAACACTCTGGTCCATTTCTCCTGAAGAGATGAAAGAGAGGGTGGCCTTTCTTGTCAACCATTTTTGGAAATGGTCGGGCTTTTGAAATCAAATTATTCAATGGACCTTCTTCAAGAAAGAAGAATGGCTGGAGGATTCAGGGCCTCTTATAGCCAGGGAATCCCTCCAGCACAATATGGCTGCTTCACCATCTCATGGGAGGGCTAGTCAGGTATTAGATCAGTGTTTCTCAACCTTGACAATTTTAAGGCGTGTGGACTTCAACTCCCAGAATTCCTGAGCCAGCCATGCTGAGGGGAAAAGCAGAGGTTTCCATGCTGAGCCATGCTGGCTCAGGAATTCTGGGAGTTGAAGTCCACGAGTCATAAAAGAGTCAAGGTTGACTACCTCTGATTTAGACAATCTAAGCCAATGTTTCTCAACCTTGACAATTTTAAGGCATGTGGACTTCAACTCCCAGAATTCCACAGCCAGCATTGCTGGCTGTGGAATTCTGGGAGTTGAAGTCCACACGCCTTAAAATTGTCAAGGTTGAGAAACGCTGTATTAGGTAATTGAGGGATGGGGTACCTATGGCTTTCCACGTACATTTAATTTGAACCCTAATATTCTTAGCAACAACGATTGATTGGGTGTGAGAGATGCTGGAGCCCATCAACACATGGAAAACTGCAGTTTCTCCAATCTGGTATCCTTCCCATATGCCAATTCCTAGAATTTCTAGCCCAGCACAGCCAATTTGGGAACATTTGCAATATCTGAATTCTGAGTGTGACAAACTCCTGCATCCTTCTTTTTTTTATTATTATAAATTTTTACAATTTTACAATAAAAACCCCTTTCCCAATCCCTCCCAACCCACCCCAAAACCCTCCCTCATTCTTCCCAGAGCTGAATACAGGGTTAACTAGAACTTAAAAGAAAAAACTTTTAACCTCAAACAAATATGATTACATTCAATAAACAAATTGTTAAGTACTTTAACTCCATTATATATAAAAAACAGAAAGAGAAAAAGAAGAAAAGAAAGAAGATAAGAAAAATAATAAAAAAACAAAAACAAAAACTATTCTACACTTCCAAGTAATATCTTAAACTTTAAATATAAATTATTCAAAAGCTAAATGATATTTTCTTATATCATACTTATATTGTATAAAATAACTCCTGCATCCTTGACTGACCTTCTGGCTCTCCATTCTTTTCCAGATTCAAACAACTATACAGGAATATTTTTGCTTCCAGGTAAGTTGGATGGCACTTATTAATTTTGATCCAGAAAGACAAGGTTCAACCGTGAACAGGGAATGTTTTAATTTTAAAAACACCAATCCATATGTTGATCGGTTGTGACTATTTAACCATGAGGTTGGAATCCGCTCTACACTTGCTCACATGCTACCTTTCTTAATTTATTTCATATGCATATGAGAAGAAGCTGAGCCAAAACCGAAAATGACCTCATTCAAGGACAAAACAAAAGACAGGCTGAATTTGTATGTGTCTTAAGCCACACAAAACCCCAATCTTTACCCGATTTGGTTAAGCATGTGTGAAAATAGTAATTGTTGTGCTTTATTTATAAATAATAAATATTTAGTAAATAATAAATACACGTTTAGAAAAAAGTTAATGTATTTTAAGGCCGGAAAAAATCAGTTAGTGGTATCAATTTTACAGAAATTCTATGGGGCTGATTTCAGCTCATCTTCTGCTCTTTCTGACTGCCCTCAGCCATCAAGTTCAGCTTAGATTTTAAAAGTTAAAGTTTGCTGATCAGACGATAACGGCCTAATTCACAGAACTCTTAAGCCAGAATGGAATGGCTTCTGCATCAATTCAGCTGAGGCCTCCTCAAGCCAATGTCTTTCTAAACCCCAGATTTAGAGATTGCTGAGTACGTGATGAAAGGCTGTTCAGGGGAAGGTGTATCCAATCGCACAGCTAAAGTCTATTCAGAAGATGATCATGAAGTACACAACACCTATTACTGTGACTCTAATTTCTGCAATATCCGGTTCACAGGTGGTAAGTACAGAAAGTTAGAACACCAACCTGCTGAGTAAATAAAAAGTGTAAGAAACAGTAAGAAACAACATGATGTAAGTGTCATGGTTCCGACAGATGAAACTCTTCAAAAGAACTTTGAGGCATTGTTTACCTTTTAGGATCTTTTATTCGAATAGCATAATATTGGCAATGCATAATCAAAGCCAAAAACTGAATTCCCCTCCCCTGGGCACATAGTATCAAAGCACAATTCCCTCCTCCAATTAACAGTCATAAATCACATTCTCCAATTAGCTTGAAGCTCTCCAGCTCTACAGCCCGCCAATTCTTTATCAGCTCTGGACTCAATAACCTTGATTCTCAGGCTAAGTTTAGTGTTGTTATGTCTAGCTGGACTCTCATTCATACTCCCCCCTCCCATCATTTAACTCTAAAAGCGAAAGGGAAAAAGATGGCTACATTTCTATTTGTTGTCAGGGTAGAACATTCGATGCTAGCAGTGTTCTTTTATTTATTTTATTTATTTATTTATTTAATTTTATTTATATGCCGCCCAATCCCAAAGGACTCAGGGCGGCGTACAAAATTAAAACAATCATCTAACAATAAAACAATAAAATAATACAATCATACCGCAAGTCCGATCATATCCCCCCCCCGGGGACATCAGCCCCAGGCCTGCCGGAACAGGAGAGTTTTAACAGCTTTCTTAAAGGCCGGCAGGGTGGGAGTTGTTCGAACCTCGGGGGGGAAGTTGATTCCACCAGGTCAGAGCCACCACAGAAAAGGCCCTTCCCCGAGGGCCCACCAGCCGACATTGTCTGGCCGACGGGACCTGAAGGAGGCCCAATCTATGGGACCTCACCGGTCTCTGGGAACTGTGCGGCAGTATGCGGTCCTGTAAGTAACTTGGCCCTATGCCATGAAGGGCTTTAAAGGTGATAACCAACACCTTGAATTGCATCCGGAGACCCACAGGAAGCCAGTGCAGCTCGCGGAGGATAGGTGACACGTGGGCGTACCTTGGCGCGCCCACAATCGCTCTCGCGGCTGCATTCTGAACCAACTGCAGCCTCTGAACGCTCTTCAAGGGTAGTCCCATGTAGAGCGCATTATAGTAATCCAGTCTTGAGGTGACAAGGGCATGAGTGACTGTGAGTAAAGCTTCTCGGTCCAAATAAGGCCGCAACTGGTGCACCAGGCGAACCTGGGCAAAGGTCCCCCTGGCCACAGCCGATAGATGTTGTTCCAAATTTAGCTGTGAGTCCAGGAGGACACCCAAGTTGTGTGCCTGCACTGAGGGAGGTAAATTTGCCTCCCCCAGGACTAATGATGGACCATCCACAATTTTTTTTTAATTTTCCATTTATTCAACATATACAACAAAATTCACTTTACAAAATAACCATAACCATAACCATAGGTGCCGCTTGCTCCTTCCCCCCACGCTGCATCCACCCTCTCTAATACTTTCCCTACTTCCCTCCTCTTTCTCTCCTCCCCTCCTACTCTCTTAGCAGTGTTGACAGTAAGATTTAAAGTGTTGGACTGGTAGGACAACCAATTTAAGCTCCCTTCAAACTCTGCTATTCTATAATTCTAGGACTTGGGTTGACCTAGTCATTAGTCCACTCTCAGCCAAGGAAGCACTTTTGGGCCAATGTCTCAGCCCAACCTATCTTGTAATATTATTCTGGAGACAAATGGGTGGGGTGGGAGGTGGGGTGGGGAGGAGAAGGTTTCTGGTGTCCTCCCAGTTCCCAACTATTTGAAACAGAAAATAGAATTACTGGACTTTGGTTCTGCCTGATAGAAATGCATTAAAGCTGAAGAGTTTTAGCTTTTCTGAAGAGCAAAATGATTTTTGGACCCTTCGCTGGTTAGCAAAAAGTGCTTCCAAAACCAACTCAAAGCGCTGGTTTTAACTTGTAAAGTTCTGTGCTATGAAATTCTAGGGTACCTTAAAATCAGCTTCCTGCAGATGGATCCTAATCATCTTATGTGATCCTCTAGGGAGGAGATGCTTAAAGTTCTGATCCTTTGAGAGGTGAAGGAGACACGGACTTGAAGGCAGAATTTTCTCTGTGGTAGCCTTGATATTTTAGAACACCTTTCCAGAGCTACTCCTAGCTCACTCATCTTTGACGTTTTTGCAAGCCAGGAAAGTTGATTTGATTGTGGTGGAGTTTTGAATCTTAGTGGTGATGGTTCATCAATTTTTAATTGGGATAGGATGTTATGGGCTGGAATTTGTAGGTATATTGAGTTTTTTTTTTCAATTTTATGGTACCATGTTTGGTTTTTGGTACATGTAAACGCCTCAAAATGTGGAGTAGGCATGGTATAGAAATAAATGCAATAATGAAAGAGGTATATTTTTAAAGATCCACAATCAGCAGTAGCCTTCTCTTCTTCTCTCCCAGCTCCAGCCAGCCCCACCCAAGCAGCCAATGGCATGGAGTGCTACAGCTGTTTTGATCGTGGTACAGGCGATTGTGCTGAAGGGAATGCTACTCGGGTCAAATGTTTGGGAGATATGAATCAGTGCATGGATTTTACTGGTAAACTGAGATGTTTCTTGAATACATTTGGGAAGGATGTTAAGGGAGTGAAGAACTGCCGAGTGCAAATACATGAACTATATCTATGATCTTTTTACCCATCTACCTGAAAGGTGAACACAGATTAGCAAGTAAGATTTTCCACTAACTAGACACGAATAAACTAGACAGCACAGTGCAATTCTGAAGGAGATGAAGAAACAAAGATTGGAGAAATAGCAGGAGAGGCAAGTAGGGGAGATAATGATAAAAGAAAGAGAGAGACAGAGACAGATGGTCAAAAGAAGAGTGCAAAGATACTCTGAGTACCATCAATGTGGACTTCAACTCCTAAACTTTTCAGCAACTGGCAAATTCTGGACGTTCTGGAAATTGAAGTCCACATACCTGAAAATTATTCAAATTGGGCAAGTTTGGTCTACAAGATTGCCGAAACCTGAACTTTCCTTCTTGACGTGAAACAATGAACTTATGAATAGGGAACATGTAGGGTTCCAGATCTTGTTGAACCTTACATTCCAGCTTTGCTAATCACTATTTAGGCTAGCTGATCACTTCTGTGGGTTGTAACTCAGGAAAATCCTCATTCCTAAATCAGCATAAATATGAGGTCCCCCTGGTACAGTCTGATGCATTGTGTTCCATCATGTTCTTTGATTCCTAGTGATCAATGGCGCCTGGAAAATGACGTACCGGACATGTGCCTTGGAAACCTTGTGTCGCCGACAATATATGATGCCAGAACTCTCAGGGAGACTGGAGATCAGCTGCTGTTCTACTCCTCTCTGTAACGATGGGCGACCTGGCCTTAAAAGCATCTGCAGCCACTTCTCAGAGCAAGGTAGCTTTCTTGTCCTCCACCAGGAAGAACACTGTGAGATATGGGCTGGTGTCAAGCACCAGGGAAATCAGGAGATTCAGGCAGTTCAAATGAGTATAAAGATTTGTTGCAAGCTTAAGCTCTCTGCAAGAATCTGGCCGACTAACGGTCAAGGGAAATGAGCGGGAGAGAAGAAAGGAATTCAAGGTGGGCTGGACTTAGATCACTTGAGGCCGTGCAGGGACTCATGACTTATGACACATTTGATCCCTCCCAAGGGATCAGTCTGGTCATCTCCTACAGTGGGAGTAGTAGAGTGCAACCAGATGTACTGTATCCCTCCTGTGATGTAATTTTTGGTAGCCCTGTAATATCTCCTCTTTGGAGAGCAGGATGTCACATCTGAGGAGGAACGAGAAGGGTGCTGGATGCAGCCTCTCAAGTGGAGGCATTCTCTGGATGGTGGGGAGTCAGAGCTGAAGAAGCTTCTTGGATGAGAAGCGAAATGTTTTCAAATGAAAAACAAGAAAGTCCAGTTGCCTCATGAAAAAGCATCTTTGGGACAAATATGACCTGGCTGACTGAGAATCCCCATAGACGACTAGGGCAGTAGTTGTCAAACTGTCTTTTGAGCTGGAAAACAGATGTTTATGTTTGGCGTCCACCAGATGAATTGGACCAATTGGTTCTGGAAATTATATCCTAATACCTCTGGATGGGATATACCAGATGCAGCCTCAAATCTTCGCAAGAAACAAGGGCTGGTCCCTGAGGGCATCTGCCTAGCTTCCTCAGGCACAAAAATCTCAACGTTCCAGAAGGAGGAACCAAGTCTAGGATGATGGAACGTGTTCAGCAAGGGTGTTGATTTCATCAGCAGGGGCTCAATTCACTTTCTGAAATTTTGCTAATGCCTGTATATGATTGATTGATTGATTGCTCTCCAGGAGTGAAGAAGCAGCCTGAGAATGGCTTGGAATGTGCCAGTTGCTGTGATTCAGGCCAAGGTGAATGTGCTCACGGAAACTGGACTCACGTCAAGTGTGTTGGGGAGCAGACCAAGTGTGTAAATGTTACAGGTGAGTTGTGTGAGCATATATGTAGGTGGGTATTGGAGCTGCACCCACAGTTCTCTTCTCCAAAGGGAAAAATGGGATGCAAATGAACAGTATTTTATATATCTATAGATCTACATCTCTCTATATCTCTACCTCTACCTCTACCTCTATATCTTTATCTTTATATCTCTATCTCTACCTCTATCTCTACCTCTACCTCTACCTCTCTGTATCTGTATCTTTATCTGTATCTGTATCTGTTTTTGTATCTATCTCTTATCTTTTAAAGAAGATATCAGGAATTCATATTTAGAATAAAAAGGAAAGGGGAAAGAGATAAGAAAAAAGACAAAGTCAAAAATGCAAAAAAAGGGAGAAAGAAAATATAAAGAAGTGACTTCTGATTTTCTTCAACCAGAGTTATTTCTTATTCTATAATTGGTATAATGCGTTTCCACTGGTAAGTATTAGGTAACTATACTCTAAACCAATTGTAGCTTCTCAGTGGTCTTTAAAAAGCGATTCTATTAGTGTGTTGCAGTCATTTAGAGAGCTAGTAAGAAGGGTGTGAGTTGCTATAGGAAGGTCTCCCCCCCCAACATCCAGATAGGGCTTCAACTGGCTCACCAACCAAAGGTGAGTGAAGGTCCTCCTGGTTGCAGTCTCCATCTGCTGTTCTAGCAGGATCCAGGAGGACCACCAGGCTGTAGACCTGCTCCTTCAGGGACAGCATCACCCTGTGAGGAGGCACGATGGGGTAGACAGAGAACCCCAATGGGTAAATAATGGTTTGATCTTTAATTTCATTTTTAATGTAAGAATAGTCAAGTCACTAATGATCCACTAGTCCCTTTCCATTTTGCTCTCCTCTCCTCCTCTCCTCCTCTCCACATTCTCACCTCTAGAACAGCTCTGCTCTTAGTGGTTTCTTCTAGCAGCCACTTTCAGACATTTGGTGTTACTGCTATATTTGTTTTCTCTAGAGAAAGGCCAAACATTACTGCGTGGCTGTAGCTTGGAGAAGCTTTGTTGGGAGAAACCACAGTTGCTGGGCCTGGACCGAAATTCTGCTATCAACTGCTGCTCCAGCGCTCTCTGCAACCGAAGTTTGACCCCAATGGGAGATGTTGCCTTGGTCCTTCTGCTCCTGCTTTTCTGGCTGCTCTGATAAAAGCCTGGAGTGTCCAAATTTCAAGGAAATCAAAGAAAGCTGGAGAACAGAGAGCCCAATGTCACCAGGACTGATGTTGTTGGTGCTTCATTGCTGGAAGCTTTCAAGAAGAGAGTGGACTGCCATCTGTCCGAAATGGTGTAGGGACTCCTGCTTGGGCAGAGGGTTGGACTAGATGGACCTACAAGGTCCCTTCCAACTCTGTCTATTCTATTCTATTCTATTCTATTCTATTCTATTCTATTCTATTCTGTTCTGTTCTGTTCTGTTCTGTTCTGTTCTGTTCTGTTCTACTCTACTCTACCTACTCTACTCTACTCTACTCTACTCTACTCTATTTTTCTACTTCATTCCATTATTCTATTCTATTCTATTCTATTCTATTCTGTTCTGTTCTGTTCTATTCTATTCTAGTCTAGTCTAGTCTAGTCTAGTCTAGTCTATTCTTCTACTTCATTCCATTATTCTATTCTATTCTGTTCTGTTCTGTTCTGTTCTACTCTACTCTACTCTACTCTACCTACTCTACTCTACTCTACTCTACTCTACTCTACTCTACTCTTCTCTACTCTACTCTACTCTATTTTTCTACTTCATTCCATTATTCTATTCTATTCTATTCTATTCTATTCTATTCTATTCTATTCTATTCTATTCTATTCTATTCTATTCTATTCTATTCTATTCTATTCTATTCTATTCTATTCCATTCCATTCCATTCCATCCCATCCCATCCCATCCCATTATTCTATTCTATTCTATTCTATTCTATTCTATTCTATTCTATTCTATTCTATTCTATTCTATTCTATTCTATTCTATTCTTCTACTTCATTCCATTATTCTATTCTATTCTGTTCTGTTCTGTTCTGTTCTACTCTACTCTACTCTACTCTACTCTACTCTACTCTATATACTCTATTCTTCTACTTCATTCCATTATTCTATTCTATTCTGTTCTGTTCTACTCTACTCTACTCTACTCTACTCTACTCTATATACTCTATTCTTCTACTTCATTCCATTATTCTATTCTATTCTATTCTATTCTATTCTATTCTATTCTATTCTATTCTATTCTATTCCATTCCATTCCATTCCACTCCACTCCACTCCACTCCACTCCACTCCACTCCACTCCACTCCATTCCATTCCATTCCATTCTATTCTATTCTATTCTATTCTATTCTATTCTATTCTATTCTATTCTATTCTATTCTATTCTATTCTATTCTATTCTATTCACTGCAGCCACATACTGTCCCTCTTGCCCACCTTTTGCCTCACACCATTCAACATGACAAGTGTTGCACATAAGATGGATTTAATCGCTCCAGCCTACATGACCACATTTTTAGTGATTCTCCCCACTGCCTTTAAATAGGAAGCTTCCAAGGACAGGTTTAGTGACCTATGCAAGAAAGAGGGTTTGGTTTACAAGCAAAGGTGAGGGTGGCATGGGGGCAGAAGTTCACTGTCCTGAAATATTATCAGCTTCTTCTCTGCCTTGCAGTTTCTTGAGGCTAACTCCTGCCAAGGGACTCTAACAGCTTTGCTTCCTTGCCCTCATGGGGTGAAAACAAGTGCTTTTCTTTGTGGGCTCTCATGCCTAAATGGAAATCGATGGTTTGCATAAGCAAAAATTCCCTAACCGGTATGATTTCTAGAGAGAACCAATTTTCGCCAGGATGGTAAGAATCGTCTCAAGCCACAGCCGCTGCAGTATTCCAAATGCTGCCGATATTTTTTTTGGGATGACTTGGCTCTCCGGTCAGGAACAGGAGATTTCTCTCCCTGCCCTGCTGGTGGACTTCAAGATTGTGGACTTTATGATCCTGCGTCTTCATCCGGAATTGCCCCGTGGCGTTTCCTCCAGGCTTCAGAGACCATCAAAGTGGGGAAGGCTGTTCCAAAACATGTTGTTTCACACCGAGCTGATGTGATGTTAGCCAACCTTGTTGCAAGGAATCAAAGTGGGGTCAAAAATCACACTCCTTGCATTTCACTGCACAAACACTGGTTGGATCTACCTGCTTTTATTCAGCTAAGACAGTGGTTCTCAACCTTTTTAATGCCGCGACCCCCAACCGGTCGTAAGTCGAGGACTACTCAACTGGTGCAGCACCGTTTGCAGACTGGGACTTTTGGCGGGCTCAGCAGGGCAGAGACAGCCTGGACAATTCCTATTGGCTTTGAAAGCCAATAGAATTAGACTCTATTCAAGAGAGTCTATTCTATTGGCTTTCAAAAGCCAATAGAATAAAAGGGAGTAGCACAGCTAAGGAAAAGGGAAAAAAAAAATGGCGGACTGTGTTGTTTGGCGACCCCCGTGAAATGGTCGTTCGACCCCAAATGGGGTCCCGACCCACAGGTTGAGAACCACTGAGCTAAGAGAACTAGAACCAAGGATCGCTATAAACTGCCCAGAGTCGCTGGGATAGCGAGATGGGCGGTGTATACATTTACACAAAGATGGACAATCAGAACACAGCCCTGAGAGAATCTGTTGTCCATGTTGTGGAGGCTGACTAACGGCTGTGGTTTCTGCCTTTTCCCTGGGTGGTTCTCCAGTGTAGAAATTTGCCAATGTCACTAGTCTGCAAAAGGATCTTCAGGAACCTTCAAATGAGGGATGTAGGGGACACAAAAGAGAGAAGACCCCTTATTAAAGAAAACACAGTTTGCAGAGATGTTGTGTTCTGAGGTGTGAGTCTTTCTGTAAAAAGGCATTTTGGAGAACTCTGCAGCTCTAGTACCTTTTGCAGGAAATAATTGTGGAGGAGACAAATGCACCCACGAGTCCATCTCAGCCCAAGACTTTCTTCCCAATGCTCCAGATTTTGGAACTGGCATAAGGATGTGGAATCCAAAGATGAGTAACTTGAGTACCAAGAACTGTATGTGGTCCTCAAAAATCCTGGGTGTGGCAAGCTATACTCCTTACACTGACAGAAGGAAAAAAAATTAATAAACACATGACCAGGGAGTAATCATATGAATTAATTTTAATGAAAGCCATGTACAAATGAATTGAAATCCCATGTAATTTTGATCCCCATTATTTTGAGAAGGGCAGTTCCTTGTTGTTGTTAGTTGTGAAGTCATGTCCGACCCATCGTGACCCCATGGACAACGTTCCTCCAGGTCTTCCTGTCCTCTACCACCTTCTGGAGTCCATTTAAGCTCACACCTACTGCTTCAGTGACTCCATCCAGCCCCCTCATTCTCTGTCGTCCCCTTCTTCTATTGCCCTCCATCTTTCCCAGCATTAGGCCCTTCTCCAGCGAGTCCTTCCTTCTCATTAGGTGGCCAAAGGACTTGAGTTTCAACTTCAGGATCTGGCCTTCTAAAGACCAGTTGGGATTGATCTCCTCTAGGACTGACCGGCCATAACTGAATGGGGTTCTCGTTCCATAAGAAATTCCATGTTTGCAAGTATGGGAAGAGGAAGGACTGTTCCCGGCAACAAAGGGGTAATCTTTACAAGGCACCAAGCTCAGAGAGCACCAAGGACTCCTTGTTTCAACCCAAGTTACAAATATTCTCCTTTATTGGCAATTTTTGTTTCATTGAGGCACTATAGAACAGTTCTGCCAGGTCTATCCAAATCCTTTTTCATTCCATTAGCTGAGTGCAGAGAACAAATTTAACCTCTCCCCCATTAATTTAGTCAAAGTTCCTGACTGTTGATCTGGCTGCATACCATCCAACTACAGGTGTGAGGATGGAGAGTTATAGGAATATCCTGAACATAGTTGATGGATTAGGAGCAGGTAGCCAATCTTGGTAGAACATCTCTGCTCTCTTGTGGTCTATGAGAGGAGTTGCAAGGAGTAGACAACCAACTATTATTCCCCTCCTTTCCCCCCTTTTGTTGGTTCTGTTGCATTATTAGCTCATTGGCTATGCCATGGTAAGAGTTCCAGTTTGACACAACATATTTATATTGAAGCCCAGATCTCAACAGTTTTCCTAAGAGGTTATGCCAAAGAATTGCTTCTGCATGCAGTTCAGAGTGCTGATTGTCACTATGGAGACTTCCATGGCTTGTGTCTCCTGCGGTTTCTGCCTGCTCAGTAAGATTGGATAGATTCCTAATTCACAAGGTTCCATTAATCTTTGAAAAATGGCTTTACAACCAGGCTTACAGTTAGACAGTTGGTTGGTTCCCTGGTGGTTTTATTTTATTTATTTATTTATAGACTTATATACCGCTTTAAGTGCAAGCACTCTCTAAGCGGTGTACACCAGTAAGCAATGTATATATATATATATACATACATTGCCCCCAACAATCTGGGTCCTCATTTTACCTACCCCGGAAGGATGGAAGGCTGAGTCAACCGTGAGCCGGTGAGATTTGAACCGCTGACCTGCTGAACACAGTCAGCTAACGTGGCCTGCAGTACTGCACTCTAACTGCTGCGCCACCCCGGCTCATTATTTTGTAACGTAATGCATGATTTTGCCTAACTGCACAGGCCCTTTTGTTTTTCATTGGCTTCTTCTGCTTTGAACTATGGAAGCCCCCCCAGAGCCATTTGGAAATCAGGTAGCATTTCAGGACCAGTCAATCAAACAAAGAGCTAATGTGCAAAATTTGAAGAATTACTTTGATAATAATATCTGTCTGGTGGTAAGGTGGATGGACTCAGTTACGTTGGTGATGAGTGGACCATTGGAAGATCTGAAGGACCAGATTGGGACAACATCAATCTAAGTCAGAGGTCCCCAACCTTTTGGGCACCGGGGACCGGTGCCATGGAGGAAGGTTTTTCCATGGACCAGAGGGGTGGTGGTGGTTTTGAATACTGCCTACATCCCGAGGATGGAGCTTTGCTTGTTTGTGCAGCCCACTTGTTCGCATGCTGTGGACCAGTGCCGGTCCACAGACCAGGGGTTGGAGACCCCTGATCTAAGTGGTTGTTAAGAATCAACAACAACTCGATGGCACATCAATGTGTGTGTATGCAGATAATAATAATAGACAGATCATTTGAAAATGGCTTATGAGACGTGAATGTGTGTCATAAAAGGGAGGAACTTCAGAGAGTTTTTTGTAGTACATAAATATGCTGCCTTTACAGATATGTGCCATTGGGGACCTCAAGGACTTTGGGGCTGCAATGTTGTGTTCAAGAGGGACATGTTTTACAGAAATATGGTTATCTTAATGCAGGGGTCTTCAAACTTGGCCCTTTTATGACTTGTGGACTTCAACTCCCAGAATTCCTTGTGCCTGGCTGAGGAATTCTGGTAGTTGAAGTCCACAAGTCATAAAAGGGCCACGTTTGAAGACCCCTGTCTTACTGGGATCGTGCAAGAGAAAAATCCCTCTTACAGCTCTAGAAGAAAAGATAACATACTGGTATAAGGAAGCATATAGATCACCTGCTGAACTGATAGATAAGTAGAGCATGCAATAATAATTACAGTATTAGGAGAACTTGCTTTTCCTTGTGATTAATTTTCTGGTACATTCAATGACCTGAAAGAAAAATGAAAGAAAGTGTTCATATGCATGTGATATTTTATGCAGCTAATCTTGTTTTTAAAGCTTGAAACTGACCTTCTCTGGAACTTTCCAAGTCCATTTCGCCTTCGATCAAGATGTTTCTGCTGAGTTATGGCGCTCTGAAATATATAATATAGCATGTCTCCAAATGTGTTGGGTCTGTTTCTTTCTTCTAGGAAACAAGCCCTATTTTGATTCCGGACATGTACCTCCATTTTTTTTTTAAAAAAAGAAGGACAGAGACTTGGAAACAAGGCAAGAAACAATGGTGGTGATTCTTTAGCTAAGGCACAGTGGTTAGAAGGCAGGACTGCAGGCTAACTCTGCCCACAGCCTGGAATTCGATCCTGATGGAGCTTGAGGCTGACTCAGCCTACCATCCTTCCAAGGTTTGATATGCAGGTTCTGAGGTTTTGCTTAGAAAATACAGGAAACCAGAAGTTGCCTTCAAGCTTTATGTTTTTTATTCAACTGAACAAAGAATGGGCTTCTCTACAAAGAGACAAAAAGCCCCAAATAGCAGAAAAACCTTATTTTCATACCTACTTTGATTATATAAGCAATTCACGCAGCAAAGCTGACACACATAAGATAAAGACTTCGCCCTTTAAGGCTGGCACACTGTGGATAAGAAGGAAGAAAGCAGAAGTAGCTAGTATCTTTCCTTTTGGGTGTTTCCCCCGAGACACCGTATGTTCACTGTTGGGTGGTTTGGGTGTTTCCCCTAAGACACCAGCTGTCCTCAGGTGGATTTAGAATATTGGGTGTTTCCTCTGCTGTCCTTTCATGACCCTGCATTCATGGGCCTGCAAATGGCCAGAGAGAATGGGGCCATCTGCACATATTCACAATTAATACTGTCTCCTAAGTCCTGATCATCAGGTTGGTAAAATGAGGACCCAGATGTTGGGGACAATATGCTGACTTTGTAAACTGATCAGAGAGTGCTGTAAAGCATGATGAAGTGGTAAATAACAGCAGCAGCAACAACAGCAGCAGCAACAACAACAACAATAATAATATAGTACCAATAGTAATAGGCGCCTTGGGTGCAATCCCAAAACAACTGGAGCACCACTTGAACACCTTCATTGGCATTGACAAATTTGCCATTAGTCAATTGCAAAAGGCGGCCTTACCAGGAACTGCTTCCATCCTGCAACAGTATCTGTAATACCATCAAACATCCACATCTACCTATCCCAGGTCCGGGGTAAGGACTCGATAGGTAGACAAAATGCCAAATCCAGTCTGAATATCTGGCTGACTGTGCGATGATCCATAATAATAATAAAGTTGGAAGAGACCTTGGAGATCATCTAGTCCAACCCCCTGCTCAGGTAGGAAACCCTATACTATTTCGGACAAATGGCTGTGCAGTCTTTTCTTAAAAACTTCCAGTGTTTAAGTCTAAGTGCTGTTGCTAAGGCACCACTGGATGCCTTGAAAAGCTTATGGGAGACATGTACATTTCCTGCACCTGTTCCTCATCAGCTTGAGAGTATTAAATGCTTCCACCCTCACCCCCAACCTTCCAGGAAGCACAGCAGATTGATTGGATGTTGCTCTTTGGCTTACAGATATGACTTTAGTTTTCTGAGGTTGACACCGAATAATCTTTCTGGATGGACCCGTCGATCCACATTCTCTGTCTCACCAGATTATATGGGATGGGTGTTTCCCTTTGGCAATAAACAGCAGGTGGAGGTGAAAGGCCTGTAGTTTATCATCTGAAATCAGGAGCTGGCCTTCGTTGATGGAAACATGTCTTTGGTGGGGCCATTCTGGAGGGCCAGCTTTCTCACAGTGGCAGAGCGTGTGAAGACATTGTTCAAGAGACAATTGATAGTTGCTCCAAGAGATCTCTTCTCTTCTCTTCTCTCTTCTCTTCTCTTCTCTTCTCTTCTCTTCTCTTCTCTTCTCTTCTCTTCTCTTCTCTTCTCTTCTCTTCTCTTCTCTTCTCTGTAGCCTGGAGGAACTGCACAACATAAGGGATGCAATTTATAGCTTTGTCACTGGCAGTTAAATGCCTTGGGACATTTTGCCTGGATGCTTGTGTATGAATGAGGGTTTAGCCAAGCTATAACTGGTTTAAAGGGCCTTTTAGTGAGGTGCCTGTATGAAAGATTTTTTTTTCTTGTGAAGTATTAGAAAGACACTGGAATGTGAATTGGGGGTTGGGCAAATGAGCATGGCTGGCTCAGGAATTCTGGGAGATGAAGTCCACAAGTCATAAAACAGCCAAGGTTGCCTACCCTTGTCCTAACCTCATCCCTCAAGACAGGGTGGGAACTATGGCAACTTTATGACTTGTGGACTTCAACTCCCAGAATTCCTGAACCAGCCATGCTGAGGGGAAAGGGAGAGGTTTCCATGCTGAGCCATGCTGGCTCAGGGATTCTGGGAGTTGAAGTCCACAAGTCATAAAAGAGCCAAGATTCCCTACCCCTGATCTAGGCCAACAGTGGCATTCAGTAGCAGCCTCAAGGCTGGGCCTGAAGTAGAGGCGCAGGCCTCAACCTTAGCCCCAGGCCATCCTGCCACTCGAAAAGGCCACCTCACGCCATTCCCCAAGGCCTGTGAGCCTTAGCGAATGGCACAATTACCTCACGGTCCAGCCAGGACCTGCCATGCCCCGAGGCTACTCTGGGTTGCACAAGCCCTTCGTTCTTGAAGTGGCTTCAAAGAGTGCCCTTCCATGGCCTCTGCAGCCCCCTCCCAAAGCTCCACGAAAACATGCCCCATTCTTGCACAATTTTCAAAGGTCCCAGATGCCATGTTGGAGCATGGCGCTTGTGTGCAACTTCCGGAGGGTCCAGAGGCCGTGCGAGAGCACATCCCACTCTCCTATGGCCTCTATAGCCTCTGCAGCCTCTGAAAACTGCCTGAAAGCAGGGCCCTGCATGGTTTTGAAGGTTCCAGAAGCCTCACGAGAGCATGACCTTTGTGTGCAACCTCCGGAGGGTCCAGAGGCCACGTGAGAACCCAACCCATTCTCATGTGGCCTGCACACCCTTCTGAAAATTGCACAAGAACGGGGTGTGTTTTCGAGAATAGTTGTCGGGTGTGGGTGAACACTGGCCAGTCACCCCAAATGTTATGGCATGTCCCCGTTCATAGACGTGTCTTGGGTTCGCCATCCTTTTCCCAGGGTCAGGGCTCAGTTGTGTCCCTCTGAGTCTGCCTCTCTTGTGCTAAAGCTGGAGAGATTTAGTTTCAGCAGCTCTTGCAATTAATCCCCGAGGCACACCTGCGTCTCTTGTGGGGAGGCTACTTATGGGACTTAAGAGACATCCTATATTTTCTGGCCATGTTGGATGATGGCGAGTGGATTTTGCAGAAGACTCCGCTTCAAGGCTTCAACCACACGAGTGTCTGCCTCCTGGTCAAGAACAACCTCAGCCTGTATGGAAATCGCTGAATAGACTCCGCGCAGGGGTGGGAAGAGCAAAAGATCATCTAAGAAAACGTGGCTTTCCCATAGAAGATAATCTGTGTGAATTTGGATTCGGACAACCCATCTCACACGTGCCCTTCAACGTGTACAGAGGAAGGCTTCACGCTGGCAAGAGAAAATACTGTTGACATGGCCCAACACTGGGTGAATGTCATTTAGTTTTAATCCTATTTGTTTTACATACTTTTTACATGTGCTATCCTTTGATGATCTGTTTTATTTGCGCAATATTGAAAGTTATATGTCTATAATTTGAAGGCACCTCTGACACAAGAAAAAGAAAGCTTCAAGGCATCCATGCGAGAGAGAGAGAGAGAGAGAGAGAGAGAGAGAGAGAGAGAGAGAGAGAGAGAGAGAGAGAGAGAGAGAGAGAGAGAGAGAGAGAGAGAGAGGAGGACGCCTTGAAATGAATAAAGATAGCTTCAAGGCATTCAAGCAAGAGAGAGGACGCCTTGAAAGCCTGCAGACAGGTAAGCACAAGAGTTGCCCAACCCAGCCCTTTGCTCCTTGAGTAATCCTCTCTTGCTGTTGGCCAGGGATCTCATTCGCTAGGGAAGAATAAAAGAGAGCTTCTGGCTTGGCTTCCAGAAACCAGCTGAGCTCTCAAATAACAGCATGTACTCTCTTGCTCTTTGCCTCCTCATCCCACTCCTACATCCAGGTAAGTCCTTTGGATTGATAAGAGCTTTACAGGATGATTTTCGACCACGGAAGGGGTGCTCTTGGCTCTTCCAGGTGCACTGCAGGATTTTTTGTTTCTCTCTCCCATTTCTGATTACTCCGGTTTGCGAGCAAACTCTTGGAAACAGTCCTTTGAAGCTGAAGTGGCTTGATTGGCAACGATGAGGGATGTTAAATGTTTGGCTTTGGAAGCGGGTCCTCACTTCCTGCAAGTTCTTCAGGCTTTCAGAGAAACCAGTCAGGCTGGCTTTGTCTGAGCAGGTGGCAACCTTAATTGAGAAAGCTTGTCCAGTATTTGGATGCAGGTTTACAGAAGAAGGAAGGGAATAAAAAATGGCTGAGGGGGGTGGTTTTTCTGAATCAAGCTACGTGGAAGAGAGTTGAGCTACTGTTTGCTAGAAATCTTTTGAAGAGGCTTACATGAGGACATCATCCTGTCTTATAGTAGTTGTGAGGGAACCAAGTGACATCTTCTTCCTGGTACTCTGGAGAAGGAAGAACTGGATCTATGAAACAAGAAACAGATAAACCATCATGAAATTGGCACCTTCTTCCTTCATGGACTTTTCTGCTCTTCTACCCCAAGAGCCTAGGGACATCACCAGTTGCAGACAACAAGTTATGCTAAGCTCTTCTTGTTAGCTGGGGTCATGAGGATCTCAGTAGAAGCAATAGCTTTCTGTCCTAATGTGGGGAAAAATTATTTGCTTTAAGGACGAGAGAGCCACGATCTGAAAGAAGAGACAGGCCATGCTTTCTGGGATGGCAATGGCAAATTGGTCTTTCTCTTCTTCTGTTCTCATTGGTAAGACATGATCCCATCAGGAAGTGCCTTTGTTATTGTTAATTGTTGAAGTCGTGTCTGACCCATCGCGACCCCATGGACAATGTTCCTCCAGGTCTTCCTGTCCTCTACCATTTGCTGGAGTCCATTTAAGTTCATGCTTACTGCTTCAGTGACTCCATCCAGCCACCTCCTTCTCTGTCGTCCCCTTCTTCTATTGCCTCAATCTTTCCCAGTATTAGGCCCTTGTCCAGTGAGTCCTTCCTTCTCATTAGGTGGCCAAAGTACTTGAGTTTCAACTTCAGGATCTGGCCTTCTAAAGAGCAGTCAGGGTTGATCTCCTCTAGGACTGACCGGTTTGATCGCCTTGCAGTCCAGGGGACTCGCAGGAGTCTTCTCCAGCACCATAGGTGCTCAGTTCTTTGGTGCTCAGCCTTCCTTATGGTCCAACTTTCACAGCCATACATTGCAACTGGGAAAACCATGGCCTTGACTATACGCACATTTATTGGCAGAGTGGCTAAAGAAAGCAGATAGCCAGCTCTGGATTAGCCATTAAGCAAAATAAGCACCTGCATAGAGTACCAAGGGAATGGGGCCAACCCAGAGGTTTTTTTCCCCTCTTTTAGCTGTCATATCCTTAACTCTTTCTCTGCCATACTTGACTTTGGTCAGTTTTTTTGGTAATTGTCCTTATTTGCCATCAGGTTGCGCAACTCCATCTCTAATGAGGAACAGCAGAAGTTTAATGTGCTTTAAGAGATGTTTGTTTTGCATTTGCTTAAAGAAATCTGAGCAGCAAGGCTAGGTGTGATTCAGTACTGTCAATTTGGCCAATGTGAAATATGAGATTCTTTGCAATTCTATCCAGCTGCCCTTCTCTTCTCTTGTTTTTTTTTGGATAGGTGTATCCATTTTAATTTTTTCTAATCCTTAGCTCAGCCTTAAGGCTTAATAGTTCTGCAAAAAGTAGAGTGGGTTGAGTTGAGTCAGCTCCAAAACTGGCAAGGAATTGGTGTGTTTGTTCAGCCTGTTCATTGACCCATAACTCATTTGGGTGGGTCCTTTTTCATTCTTTTCTTTTCAAATTATTGATTTTTTTTTTCTTGGCAAAGTTCATGAGTTTTTAAAAGTAGAACAATTAGTGGAAGTTCAACATGGAACAATGATTTAATGGAATCAAGTCCCTCAATCTGTAGAATGAGAAATCTTTGCTGGAATATCGAATGCTGTAAAATATTTCTAAAGAAACTTCAGATATAAACAGATTTGAACATTGGGCGCTATCTAACAAAATGAAATTCAATGGTGAAAAAAGTAAGGTTCTACATTTAGGCAAGAAAAACCAAATGTAGAGGTATTATATAGGGGGTACCTTGCTCAATAGTAGTAACTGTGAGAGGGACCTCGGAGTCCCAGTGGACAATCACTTAAATATGAGCCAGCAGTGTGGTGCAGCTGCCAGAAAAGCTAACAGTGCTAAGCTGCATTAACAGAGGGATAGAATCAAGATTGCATGAAGTATTAATACCACTTTACAATGCCTTGGTAAGGCCACACTGCAACCAGTTTTGGTCACCATGATGTAAAAAAGATGCTGAGACTCTAGAAAGAGTACAGAGAAGAACAACAAAGATGATTAGGGGGCTGGAGGCTAAAACATATGAGGAACGGTTGCTGGAATTGGGTATGTCTAGTTTAATGAAGAGAAGGACAAGGGGGGACATGATAGCAGTGTTCCAATATCTCAGGGGCTGCCCCAAAGAAGAGGGAGTCAAGCTATTCTCCAAAGTGCCTGAGGGCAGGTCAAGAAGCAACGGATGGAAACTAATCAAGGAGAGAAGCAACCTAGAACTAAGGAGAAACTTCCTGACAGTTAGAACAATTAATCAATGGAACAACCTGCCTCCAGAAGTGGTGAATGCTCCAACTCTGGAAGAGACTGGACAGCCATCTGTCCGAAATGGTGTAGGTTTTCCTGCCTGAGCAGGGGGTTGGACTTGATGACCTCCAAGGTCCCTTCCAACTTTATTATGATTATGATTATGATTATTATTATTATTATGGATCATTGTAGTCAGCCAGATGTTCAGACTGGATCTGGCATTTTTGTCTACCTATCGAGTCCTTCCCAAGGACTTGGGATAGGCAGATGTGGATGTTTGATGGTATTACAGATATCATCGCAGGATGGAAGCAGTTCCTACTAAGGCTGCCTTTTGCAATTGACTAATGGCAAATTTGTCAATGCCAATGGTGTTCAAGTGGTGCTCCAGTTGTTTTGGGATTGCACCCAAGGCGCCTATGACTATTGGTACTACCCTTGCTTGCTTTTGCCACAGTCTTTCTATTTCTATTTGTAGGTCTTTGTATTTTCTGATCTTTTCCAGTTCTTTCTCGTCTATTCTGCTGTCTCCAGGCACTGCCACGTCCACTATCCAGACTTTTTTGTCTTTCTTATCGACAATTGTTAAGTCCAGGGTGTTGTTGTTGTTGTTATTATTATTATTATTATTATTAAGGCACAAGTCCAGTTGCTTCCTGAAAAAGGATCTCTGGGACAACCTTGACCTGGAGGACTAAGAACAGACATCCTCAGAGATGATTGCATTAACTTTCTTTCAACATCTCCCTATAGTGGATGCCATTTTCTGCTTCAATTGTACCAGCACAGAAGGTTATAACTGCAGCACAGCTCAGCAGAAATGTCCACTTACGGTCAACAGCTGTATCACCATTGCCCGGGATGAGGACACAGGTCTGTAACTATCTTTCAGTCTGTCTCTAAAACAAATTTGTCTAGAAAATAATTGTTTATCTCTTTTTTTCCCTTATCTGTTCTTAACTTCTGTTTTTTTTCCTGGAGGACTGAGGATGGTTTTACATTTAGCAAGGGCATGAGCCAAGATATTTATTTGCACGAATTCTTCTCTGAGGTTGGTAAGCCATCTTTCCCCACATTGCTATCTGAAATTCATTACTTGATTTGGAGTACAGAGATAGGATGTGGGGCCTTCTGCATAAAATGGTTTATTCTGTCATTGAGTTATGTTCGTGGGTTCAAGATTGCCCATAGCAAGCTCTATCTCTCTAGCATGCACTGTAGGCTTAAGCTACAGGAGGATCTGGACAGACTTGAACACTGGGCGCTATCTAACAAAATGAAATTCAATGGTGAAAAAAGTAAGGCTCTACATTTAGGCAAGAAAAATCAAATGCACAGGTACAGTATAGATGGTACCTCGCTCAATAGTAGTAAATTTGAGGGAGATTTTGGAGTCCTAGTGAACAATCACTTAAATATATGGCACCCAGCTGTGTTCTGCAGCTGCCAAAAAGGCCAAGACAGTGCTAAGCTGCATTAACAGAGGGATAGAATCAAGATCTCGTGAAATATTAATACCACTTTACAATGCTTTGGTAAGACCACACCTGGAATACTGCATCCAGTTTTGGTCACCACGATGTAAAAAAGATGTTGAGACTCTAGAAAGAGTGCAGAGAAGAGCAACAAAGATGATCAAGGAACTGGAGGCTAAAACATATAAAGAACGGTTGCTGAACTTTGGCATATCTAGTTTAATGAAGAGAAGGACGAGGGAGGACATGATAGCAGTGTTCCAGTATCTCAGGGGCTGCCCCAAAGAAGAGGGAGTCAAGCTATTTTCCAAAGTGCCTGAAGACAGGACAAGAAGCAATGGATGGAAACTAACCAAGGAGAGAAGCAACCTAGAACTAAGGAGAAATTTCCTGGCAGTTAGAACAATTAATCAGTGGAACTACCTGCCTCCAGAAGTTGTGACTGCTCCAACACTGGAAGTTTTTAAGAAGAGACTGGACAGCCATTTGTCTGAAATGGTATAGGGTTTTCTGCCTGAGCAGGGGGTTGGACTAGATGACCTCCAAGGTCCCTTCCAACTCTGTTATTCTATTCTAATATCCCCAGCATATATGGTCATTATGAATATAGAATCATAGGGCTGGAAGGGACCTTGGAGGTCTTCTAGTCCAATCCCCTACCCAAGGCAGGAGACTTTGTTGCTTTCAAAAAGGTTGCAAAGGAAACTCATCAGGTTTGCCACAATATATGTAGATGAGAATCAGAATGGAAAGTAAAAAAAAAAAGTCTATTTACCAGCCCACACTGGACCAGCATGGCATAGGGTTAGCCCTTGACCTATGATCTATCCCCGTAGAGGAAAAGAAGGACGATTGCCAAAGGCACATCTGTTTCAGGAATTGACCTAACTCAGTGGTAGGCAACCTTGGCTCTTTTATGACTCGTGGACTTCAACTCCCAGAATTCCTGAGCTGGCATGGCTCAGCATGGGAACCTCTCCCTTTCCCCTCAGCATGGCTGGCTCAGGAATTCTGGGAGTTGAAGTCCCCGAATCATAAAAGAGCCACAGTTGCCTACCCCTGGACATAACTGTTTAATTGATCTGACTTCCATCCCCAGGGACACAAGACATAGAAAACCCAGTTTACGAGAAGAAGTGCAACTCTGACGACCGACTGTGCAACCAATTTTATGGGTTGATGGCAGGGGATTTTCGCATGCGGTGGAATTCCAGCTGCTGCCGTGCCGACCGCTGCAACATTGAGGAAATAATGGGTAAAGAACTGGGGTGGTTTCAATGAAAGAAGCCAGGCAGCTCAGATTAAGCAGCACGTGAATGATTCTTTTAAAGTAGGTTTCTGACAAAGGCAGCCATCTTCCCTAGACAGCCCTTGAGGTGGCTCTGGGGCAGGGGTAGACAATTTTGGCTCTTTTATGACTCATGGACTTCAACTCCCAGAATTCCTGAGCCAGCTTGGCTCAGCTTGGAAACCTCTCCCTTCCCCCTCAGCATGGCTGGCTCAGGAATTCTGGGAGTTGAAGTCCATCAGTCATAAAAGAGCCAAGGTTGCCTACCTCTGGCCTAGGCCTAGGCCGCTTTATGACTCGTGGACTTCAACTCCCAGAATTCCTGAGCCAGCATGGCTCAGCTTGGAAACCTCTCCCTTTCCCCTCAGCATGGCTGGCTCAGGAATTCTGGGAGTTGAAGCCCACAAGTCATAAAAGAGCCAAGGTTGCCTACCCCTGTTCTGGGGAGATTAATTCCAAGGTTATTTGGATGGCCACCGACTTCCTTTCCTGTCCCATGAATATCAGTAAGCCCTTTGGAATGGGAAACCCCCCCCCTGCAAAATGTGGTGAATGGTTCTCAATCTGAAACAAAGCATCGGGAGGTGGCACACGAGCTCTTGAAACACAGGGAAACCATTCTGTGACCACAGAGTGTGACTTTCACAGTTGCTATTTCTTGAGAAGGCCATCTGCATGGTGGTTAGCAAAAATTGGCCCTGAGCCTTCCCTCCTTCTCTCCTTAGTGAAGACAGGCAATATACAGTATAAAGATGTGACAATATGTGCTGTCAAGATCTGCTCCAAAATATCCACCTGTCTCATAGAGCAGTAGTCCCCAATCTTTTTGGTGCCAGGGATCAGTTTCATGGAAGACAATTTTTCCACAGGCCAGTGTGGGTTTTCTTTTTTAGGCTCCTGGGGAGGAAAGCTATGGCAAATCTAGACAGTATATTAAAAAGCAGAGACGTCACCCTGCCAACAAAAGTGCGTATAGTCAAGACCATGGTTTTCCCAGTTGCAATGTATGACTGTGAAAGTTGGACCATAAGAAAGGCTGAGTGCCAAAGAATGGAGGCCTTTGAACTCTGGTGCTGGAGAAGACTCCTGCAAGTCCCCTGGACTGCAAGGTGTTCAAACCGGTCAGTCCTAGAGGAGATCAACCCTGACTGCTCCTTAGAAGGCCAGATCCTGAAGTTGAAACTCAAGTACTTTGGCCACCTAATGAGAAGGAAGGACTCACTAGAGAAGAGCCCTGACACTGGAAAAGATTGAGGGCAATAGAAGAAGGGGAAACGACAGAGAATGAGGTGGCTGGATGGAATCACCGAAGCAGGAGGCGTGAGCTTAAATGGACTCCAGAATATGGTAGAGGACAGGAAGGCCTGGAGGAACGTTGTCCATGGGGTTGCGATGGGTCAGACACGACTTTGCAACTAATAATAACCCAGATCTCACGCATGTTCAAATGAAGTTTTGCTGACTTGCACAGCCTGGTTCCTAATAGGCTACAGACTGGTACTGGTCCTTGGCCCAGGGGATTGTGGACTCCTATCATAGGGCATTATCTAGAAGTGATTTGTCTAAGATGCCAAACTTTGTTTCAAAACAAGCTTGCATCTGAAAGAAGTGGGGAGAGGGAAGTCCTGTTCTTTTTTTTCAAGCTAATTTCAGTAAAGTCTTGCTATTGGTGCTGGGAAGGAAATAACGGCAGGGTAAATTTGGCGGTATCTGTTGCACCCATCCAGGATGCTAAGACAACATACATAAGCACCAATGCTCTGAGCCTTTTTTGTTTGTTTGTTTAGTCTAATCACTTGAGCAAATCGTGGCATATTGTAGAGATTCTCAAGTTGTTCTTTTGGGTCTCTCCATCCATAGTTCAAAAAGCATCTCAGAATCGGAATGGAGTCCATTGCAATTCATGCTTTGCCCATGGCACAGATTTGTGTCCCAACAAGACTGAGGTGGCCTGCACAGGTCTCATGACACACTGCATCCACTTTGCCACCCGTGCCAAGAAAGGTAAGTACCATATTTTTCCATCTATAAGATGCACCCTTGTATAAGAGGCTCTCTGCGCCGATCAGCTGTTCGGCGGAGCGCTGAACAGCTGAGCCGGCAAATCTGAAAGTTCGGCCAGCTGAAGATCTTGGCGCTTCCCCCCTCCCATTAGTGGCAAGCCCGCAGAAATTGACACCTGCACCAGGCGGCATGGCAACGCATACAGGCATGTCCTGGACTGCGGAGGTTACCATTATTTTTCCATGTATAAGACGCACCTGATTTTTGAAGAGAGTGTTTGCAGGAAAAAAATAGTGTCTTATACACGGAAAATATGGTAGATAGAAAGAGGAGCGGCTATGGTGAAGAGCAAAATCTTTTGTCAATTGGAATTCTACTGTTGATAAGTCATCGTCAACTTCAAACCACATTTTGGGACCAGAATTCGTATTGCTAAGCAGGGTGATTGTTAAATAAGTTGCACCCAATTTTTTTTTTGGGGTAGTGGTGGGGGGGTTTGCCTCAATTCTTAAGTGAATCACTGCAGTTGTTAAGTATTATTATTATGTTATGTTAAGTAGTATTATGATTATTAAGCAAATTGTGTTTCTCTTGTTGACTTTGCACATCAGAAGCTTTCAGATGACAATCTCATGAACCTGGAGCATTGCAACCCATGGTAAATGCATGCCGGTTGCCAAGCAGCCAAGTTTGGATCACATGACTGTGGGGATGCTGCAATGGTTGTTAAGTGTGAAGACTGGGTCAAGAGCTAGCTCTTGACTTCATCTTTGTCAAAGTGAATTTACAACCATGTTAATAAATATACGGAAACGCAGCAGAATCGGGAACTCTCTCTTATTCTCTGAAGAATTCTAGAGATAGTTCTGTCCATTCAACCTGGTTAATCCTTTTCCTTTCCATCCTTCCAATGCAGAAGAATTCAAGGACCAACAGGTTGCCTTCACAGGATGTGCTACCAAGAATTTCTGCGACATGGGAGCGGTGGCATTGTTTGTTGCTGGCCGCAACGTTGAAGTCACAACCAACATGTGCAGTTTTGCATCAGGAATTGTTTCTTGGTACAACTTGGTCCAGTCCTTTCTAGTGGGGCTGTTCCTTCTTAATATTTGCTTCTGAGTTTCTGCCTGCCTGGTCATCTTCTGTGATCCTCCCTACTTCTTCTACGCTGTTGGTCTGCTTTCAGCTTCCCTCTCAGACACTTTGCTGTACCTTTGATTTTCCAAAGAACTGAGAAAGGCTGGCAAACTCTGGTACTAGTTTTCCAGTGGCTAAACACTCAACCTGAAACCTGAAGGAAGGAGTTTGGCATGGGATTGATTTATGCACCCAGTTCCTAGTTTCTTTGGTCCTGATCAGTGGGGAAGATGTGGACCCTGCCCTGTGAAGGGTCCACAAACTCATTTCTTTCAGAAGAGCCAGATTGGCAAAGTGTGAGTAGAGGACATCAGGGTGATTTTACTGGGTTTGAACATGGTTGTCAACTTTCACTGTATGTAAGTGTGAAATATAAAGGGAGGAGCACTTTGAGTGTTTTGATACCTGCACCCTGGCCCCACTCAACATTTTGCACTGCAGCCCTCAGCCAGCCACTCAAGAAATTTTACCTTCCCCTTTAATTGATGAAGAATTGGAATTGGGCGAGGTTCAACTTTTTTACTTAACTGTGAAAAACAGAAGCTGTATTTACTCACAACATGGTCGTTCCATTTTCTTTATTTGCACAACTGCAATATTGTCTAACTAAATGGAATCATGCAATATGGTAGGCCACTAAATCACAATTATCCAATGTTGAAACTATTCAAACCTAGTTGTTACTGCAGGTGACATGGTTAAATCTACATGAAGACATCCAGTGGATCTCCTCCTCCTCCTCCTCCTCCTCCTCCTCCTCCTCCTCCTCCTCCTCCTCCTCCTCCTCCTCCTCCTCTTTTCTTTTTCCATTTTTCCTCCCTTGTGATTCATCATATTTTGCTTATAGACCAGATATCTAGTGTGTCTCACTAGATCAGTGTTTCTCAACCTCTGCAACTTTAAGAGAGTCTCTTAATACAACTTTAAGTGTTGTTAAAAAGCAACTTCAAATGTTTTTCAACCTCAGCATTACAGCTGGGGGGTTCTGGGACTTGAAGTCCACATTTTGTAAAGTTGTGGAGGTGGAGAAATCTTGCACTAGATGGTAGCCCCTGTCTATTTTTGGGTGATGTTGGAACAGGGCTAGCTGTGGGAAACTATTGGGGAATTCCAGAGATGATGTCTACACTAGAACCTAACCATATTTAAATACTAATTACCAGTGCTTTTTTGTAAAAACAAAAGATGCCTATGGTACAAGGTTCCATCCAAAAAAGGTGCTGGAACTCTGTTCTGGGCGTTCTATGACAAACAAAGTCCTGCTAATTACACATATGGGAATGCTGATTTAAGTTTGTAACTGACCTGATTAAGCTTGTTGTGTGAATGCAACCATTGGACATTTCAAAGCAGATGGGATATAGGGTCTCCTCAGTGGTGGGACTCAGCCACTTCGCACCAGTTTGGCAGAACTGGTAGCTATTTTTTGTTGCCCAGGCCCAGAATGAACTTCCAGAAGCGGTATTCACATATCTGAATCCCACCACTGGGTCTCCTGCTTGAACAGGGGGTTGGACTAGAAGACCTCCAAGGTTGCCTCCAACTCTGTTATTCTGTTATTCTGATTTTTTACATTTCTGTGTAGATCATGTTCTCAGCAACTTTAACATTGTGTACCAACTCCCAGACATAAAGTCTAGCTGGAGAATTCTGGGAGTTGAGGTTTTCACATGTTGAATTGCTGAGGTTGAGAGACACAGTTCTAGAAGAGCTTGTGATCTCAGGATGAGCCAAGGTGGCGCAGCAGTTAGAGTGCAGTTCTGCAGGCCACTTTAGCTGACTGTGTTCAGCAGGTCAGCGGTTCAAATCTCACCGGCTCAAGGTTGACTCAGCCTTCCATCTTTCCGAGGTAGGTAAAATGAGGACCCAGATTGTTTGGGGCAATGTAAATATATATATACATTGCTTACTGGTGTACACCGCTTAGACAGTGCTTGCACTTAAAGCGGTATATAAGTCTCATAAATAAATAAATAAATAAAAATGGAACCCCTGGACCATTCCAAGCTGATTTCCAATGACACCCACTCTTTGACTTGCTTTAACTTAATTGCTTTACTAGTTCTTGCATAATACAAATTACTACCTCCAACAGATTTTTAATTAATGTTGGTAAAGCATCCAGAGACATTAAGAGAATGGAAGCTATATAAATTATCTCAATAAGCATACCAGATTATCCAGGGTAAAATACTTTTATCCCCCTCTTGACTCCCAAGGGTGAACTACAGAAGGTCTTTCAAAAGAAAATTCCTTGAGATTATTGATATGAATACCTAAGAATGGATGCTATGAGAGAAACCATCCATCCTAGAAATCAGAAGATTGTGAGTTCTAGTCCTGCCTTAAGCATGAAAGCTGACTGACTTTGAGCCAGGCCCTCTCTCTCAGCCCAATCCACCTCACATACGGTAGGGGTCATGAGGAAAACAGGAGGAGAAAGAAGTATTACATATTTATAAAAATAATAGAGATGAGATAAAAAGCTATTAAAATAAATATCTCCTGCCACTTGTTTAATCGCTTGAATGAACTACACAAAACACGATTATTTGCATTCTTACCGGTAGTTTATTTTGATTACAGCTTAATGACAGTTGAAAGTTAAGAAAGAACCTCAGAGTGAGCTAGACTATCGAAGTGTAGTAATTAAATCCCATCACCCATCACCAACTCAAATCTTAAACTTTAATCTCAAACTTGAGTGTCTTTCATCCCAAATTCTTACTGCTCTTTGGATTAAAGCCCTTAATTCCAATTTCAAACAAATGTTTTTGAAAGGCCGCTCCATCCTTCCAGTCCAACAGGATTCTGGCATTTTAATTTTTTAAGGCTGAAAATGATTAATCCATTTGCTTCTTTCGTCTTTCCTGTTGGGTAGGAACAGAAATTCCTGGTTGTACATCCCTGGACACTGATTGTTGAAAAGAATGCTGAAACTGGGAAGAGGGAGAATAAAGGATTTAGGAAACATTTCTTAGTTTTCTCTTCACTTTTAATGGTGTAGCATTGAGATACATTAACAAAAGTATGTACTGTATCTGTCTGGTCATCTAGACAAGGCCTGTTGAGCATTCCCTTTCCTTGTGAGGTAAATAAATAGCAGGTGAGGTGACAGGTCTTTGTTTGGTAGCCCATAATCTTGGGCAGTCTCTCCCCTGAGGCATGTCCTACCCCCATTCTGTCAACTGAGAGACTGGACATCCATTTGTCTGAAATAGTATAGGGTTTCCTGCCAGAGCAGGGGGTTGGACTAGATGACCTACAAGACCCCTTCCAATTTTATCATTATTAGTAGTATAACTGTTCCTATATTATTAAATCTGCTTTAATCCAGATTAAATCTGTATTCTTCTCCTATGCACTTAAAAAAAAAACCTGAACATTGCCAATGAATGAAATATTCCCCCAAAGAATGATTTCCTATTGGTTTTACTTTGTTTATGTTTCTCTTTCATTTCCCGTATGCTTAATTTTATTTTTTTGTAGAAAGTTCCTCCCCAAATTGAGAAAGAATAAGTTGCTCACGTGCACGTATACCGAATTTCAATTTGAAACATTGGTCCTCATCCCCGAGACAGAGAACGGATCCACTTTCTTCAGAAACACCATTTCGCTTGAAAGAGCCAGGGCAGACACGCCCGTTGGGTTTAAGGATGTCACGCCCTGGAACTGCAGAAAGGAAGCTTCTGAAGTAGCAAATAGTTTCACAGCCACAATCCTTTCTGAAGTATTTATAGCCCAACTAAGTGCCCTCTAAGCATTTTGACTATGGTTCTTATAATTCTCAGTCAGGAAAAGATTTGTTTTCCCCAAATAGCAAATCACCTTGTGTTCCTACTGGAGTAGAGTGTGAAATTTGGAATGCACAATTTCTTAATGAACTTTAAGGACATAGTGTATATTATGTTCTGGCCCTGTTGAATTGCTCAGCAGGCTCAGGAAGCTGTACAAAGGCCTGGGCAGACAGGCTGTCTCCAGCCTTGCGTGCATATGCAAGGTGGGAGAATGCTGTGGAATGATGAGCTGACACTGTTCCTGCCAGGGGACTATACAAGGGCCTGCGCCATTTTGTTCTCCGTTCTGTTGGTGAATTGCAATAAAGGAAGACTGTTTTTGTTACTCCACTTTGTCTCAATGCCTTTTACTTGGAAACAGAACATTGGCAACGAAGGTGGGATGCGCTGCAAGGAAAACAACAAAAGAAGCTAGGCCGACTCACCAGAGGAGGCCTTAAGTGCTGAGAAATTCGGCGTCCGGAGATTGCAACTCTGCCTGCCAGTAAGAGAACGCTGGAGGTGAGCTTGGCAAGAGGGACCCCTTCTCAAACTTTGCAGCAGGAGGCGTTGACGAAGCTCTAGGCTGTAACGATGTCCAAACTAGGCCGTCTGTCGGAGTTTGACACAGCTCATCCAGAACGCTGCAGTTCTTACGTGGCCCGGGTGGAGAAGTACTTTTGGATAAATCAAATCCAGGAAGACAGCCTCAAAGCTGCTACTTTGATGTGTGTCTGTGGGCAAGAGACTTTCAATATTGCCGAGAATCTAGTTGCCCCAGCACCACTTGAAATCAATTGCTTATGCTGAATTGAAGAAGATGCTGTGAGAACACTTCGAACCCAAGCTCTCAGTGATTGCATGGCGACAGGCATTCAAGCAGAAGGACCAGAGGCCTGGTGAGTCTGCTGCAGACTTTATTGCTGCACTCTGATAAGCAGCCAGGCCCTGCAAATTCAAGGATCTGGAAGAGAGGGTGCAGAATCATTTAGTTTGTGGGCTGAGAAGTCGTGAGCTGCAGCAGAAGATCTTCACCAAAGAAGATATCTCTTTCCAAGATGCCTTGAGAGAGATTGCAGCCGAAGAAGCAACGGGCGGCACTGTGAAGGCCTTGCGGTTCGCCAAGAACCCTCCAGCGGTGGTCTCCGTCCATCAAGAGGTTGCTCAGGAAGAATCCGAACAGGATCCAGAAGAGGAGGTGGACAGACCTCAGCAAGCAGCGGAGAAAAGGCCTCAAGAGCGCAAAGACAAGGCAACCTCATTCCCTTGGTGTTTCGGATGTGGAGGACGCCACAGGCGCTCCAATTGCCAGTCAACTCCGCCATTTGCCAGGTACGTGGCAGGCAACGCCACATTGCCTCCATCTGTTTGGGTCACCAGAAGGACTGGTCTTTGGAAGAATTGCTTCAGAAAGGTACCAGGGTCCCCAGCCAGCACAGGGTGGGTTTCTGCACATCGCGCAGGAGCATATTCAAAACAGGGGCTCATAGGTCACTTAGGAAGAAGCTTCACATTGATGTGAAGTTGCAAGGGGTCCCCTTGTCGATGGAGTTGGACATAGGGTCCGCTCAATTGACCATTTCGCAAGACACTTTTAAAAAGATTTACAGCAGAAGTGGCATGCGAGTTAAACTCAGGCCATCAAATTTAATCCTTACTGATTTCCAGAATTCCTGAGTCAGCATGAAGGGGGAGGCCACGCTCAAGGTGCAGCGTAGGTGTTTTGAAGGGTTGCTAGACATGATGGTAGTTGGGGGTGATCACATGCATCTTATTGGACTCGATTGGTTTGAGGCCCTTGGGATTCAAGTGACTGGACTTCACAGTCTGCAAACATCAGGCCTTGCAGGAGTTTGCAAGGAGTTTGCTGATGTGTTCAGTTCAGAGCTTGACTCGTACAAGGGGCCTCCCATTGCCTTACGTTTAGACCCAGCCATCACACCCATTAGGATTAAGACACGAAGGGTGCCCTTTGCATTAAAAAACAAAATTGATGCAGAGATGGACAAGCTGCTCCAGCAGGGAATCTTAGAGCCTGTGAACAGTAGTTCATGGGAAACCCCCATAATCACGCCTATGAAGGCAAATGGAGAAATCCGAATTTGTGTGGATTACAAATGTACACTTAACAAAGCTTTGCAGCAGCACGCCTACCTGGTGCTGGTGGTGAGCCACATTCTGGCCTCCCTCAAAGGAGGCTGTGTCTTTGCAAAACTTGATTTGGCTCAGGCCTATCAACAGTTACCAGTTGATGAGGCAACGGCTGAGGCCCAAACAATTGTAATGCATCGGGGAGCTTTTATAGTAAAAAGGCTGCAGTTTAGGGTTAATGTAGTGCCTGGTATTTTCCAGAGCATGATGGAAGGTACGCTCCATGGCATTCCTGGGGTCTGACCCTACTCTGCTCTCGGGGGGGGGGAGGAGGACCACAATTACGATTGTGGACCACAGTCTCTCCACCAAAGCGGACCTTCACATGCCGCAGCACATGTTCCAGAAGGGGTTTTTGCCATGGAGGCGGCTCCTGACTCTGGCACAGGCACTGGGTCAATGGGAAATTGCTATCAATCAGC